TCCCGTACTCACCAGCCTCGTGGCGTCTCCTCGCATTAGCTAGTCGTGTCTCCAAGGTGTCCGCTACACCCGCTTCAACTACGGGGTCGACCATGGTGACTCCAAAGGCTGCCGGCCTACGAACGACTTAGTAGGTGCAAAAGTTGTCTCCTATCTGAAGGTACCCTTGCGGGGCCTTCCACGCTTACCGCACCATGAGGAGATTAACTCTACAACGGTGGGAGCTAGACTATGGGGTTGGCACGAGTTGTAGGAGTGATCGTAGCTGTGTCTGTGTTCTCTAAGACTTGTGTTTTCACAGGGCAAAACAGCAAGAATTTCACTAAGGAAAAGTTGAGAATACAGAGTTCAGAATGATAACAAGCAATGGAATCGATTGACTACATCACATGCAAGGTTTGCTAGTGCTCAGGCAGGTCGACTGCCAGCGTGACAGAGTTGTCGACCTGCCAACGTAGCAAGTCTGCGGCCCGCCAACGCAGCTTGTGTGCGACTTGCCAACGCTGCAGATGGCGGCCTGCCAACGCAGCATCCGCACGACTTGCCAACATTGCATCCGCAGGTGATTGTAAGCACATGTGCAGGCACCTACTTCGCAGGTGCTTGTAGACAGTTATGCACGACGTGCACTGTCACACACATCGCGCAGGTTGTCAGCCACATGCTGACGGTTGCACATGATGAGCCACGTCGACCACGTGCTGCCACGTCGGTCGACTTCGCCACAACAGCCTCGACGACGTTCGCACACCTTCGCGCACCTCGTCGAGCAGGTAACTTGGTCAACCAGGAGAAGTCCCTGACATCTCTGCAGGATGATGGCCTTCGTCATCACCGGTTGACGACCTTTGTCATCGCGGGTTGACGACCTTCGTCGTCGCTGCTCGACGACCTTCGTCGAGCACCTTCGTTGAGCACCTCGGTTGACATTTCAAAATGTCAGCTCCTGATTGGTCGAAATTAGGGCACATTCGAATTTCTGGCCAAAATTCGCCCGTGCAGTCTCAAGGTTGCGCAGGGCCAGACGCGACCCTGCGCAGACGAACACCCGCGAACTTTTGCACCAGTTGCGCCACTTGTACATGCGCACGGGAAGACTGTGTTGCACTCGCGGATGCTTCAATTACTTTTGCATAAATTCCCTAGTACACCTCGTGTACAGGCAACCCTCGTACTGTCAGAATCCCAACCACTAGACCATTGGGATAAAAGGGCTTGTTTGTGTAGCGGGTAAGTGCGCCCATAACCCCCCAGGCCAACGTGCCTGTAACCCTTCCCTAGGATCAATCGGGGATCACCAGTGGACCTCTGACACGTACACCTGCAGAAGGTCGGCTGCACCTCTCGCACACCCGACCACGAAGTCAGTTTTGCCCATGCGAGGGCGGGGCCAATTTCCTTCAACAGTCGCTGTTTCTCCCTGCTAGCCCAAGCTGCTCCTACTGCTAACAGCTGCTCCCTAACTCCTACTCCTGCCTTTTTCCCAGGTGAGTATAGGACTAATTCTAGACTTACGAATTTCCATTAACGTACATATTTCTCTTGTATGCCTCCGCGCTTTTGCGTCTCCGCCGTTTGGCGCGGTTATTTTCATGGAGAACCTGTTCCCGCGAGCCCCTCCTCGTGAGCCAGCGATTTGATGATTTATAACATTTATGGAGAGATTTGACAACATCTCTGCCTAGGGCTTCGTCAGTTTCTTTCTCGCTAGTTTCTTCTGCTCTTGTCACTAGTGTTTCTTTAACCTCGCCTATCTCATGCTTCAACTGCCTTCTATCTCCAACTAAGTTCTAAAGTGAGCTTAGATGACTGTTAACTCTCCCTCTTCCTCTCTTTCATATACGTTACCTTCATTTCGTCTAATATCGTTTTGTTTCTCCGTTCTATCCATTGTCTAAGCGTTCTTGTTTCCACCCTACTCCTTGCTTTCGTTTTAACTTGCTATCGCTCTTCGTTTTTCGAGTTAAATGCATTGAGAAGTTTCCAAGTTCTCAACAGAGCGATCTAGTTTTAGGACTCTTGAAATTAAAGTGAAAGCTTCTTTTGCTCTTCCTCAACCCTACGTTTTAGCTTTCCTGTTCTCTCTTTTCTTACTTTACCTCCTATGTTTTCCTTCCAACATTCATTCAAATCCTTGATTCGAACTGTTTTTTCTTTGTTGTGCTCTTGTGTTCCTTCGTTTCGAACCGCTTTCCTTCGATTGTATCCTCCCTTTCCTGTTATTTTTTCCTACCTCCTGTTTTTGTTTTTTATTAGTCCCTCAATTGGCCACTTTTTCCTTGCAACCGTATGTTGCAACCGATAATTTCTTGCGTTTCCTCTTATTTCTTTCTCTATTTCTCCATTCTCTTTATTTGTACAATTATTCCTGCTCTTTCGCCTTACCAAATAACCTATTAGCTCAACCGGTCAAACTTTGATTGCTTATGTCCGTTTTGTGTCCACCTCCCTTTTCTGTCTGTGACTGCATTTTTCACTTTATTACTTCTCTTACCACTTATTCTGGGCATTCCTCTTTCCTTATTCTTTCTTCCCTAAATCTTGATTCCTTTTCCTTTTCTTACGCTTGTCCTTGTTTCCTCCTTCCATTCTGTCCATTTCTTATTATTCCTTCATATTTCTTGGATTTTGGTGTCCGTTCTCATTTTCCCTTTTTTCTTAATGTAATCTTTTCATGACTGTTTCTTCTTTTGTTTTCTGTCCGTTCTTCTGTAGCATATTCATTTGTTCGCTTCAATCTCTGTCTCTATACTTTTCCTCATTTCAGGTCAGTTTTGGTCCAACAAAACCATTTCTTCTGTTTTGTTTTCTGAAAGTTCTTCTTCGGTTTCACTCTTTTTCCTCTTCCCGTAAACTTTGATTTATTTTCTTCCTTCCACGTGCGTTTTGTGTTTGTTATGCCTTTCCCTTTTATTGCAGATTCTGGTATACCATTGGAGGGATGGAAAGGAGCATCTCGTACAACCCATAGACCAATAGTTTTAACTGCTCTTAATTATTAATAATTGTTAGATTTCTTACATATTTTCTTATGTTTATCATGTGCTGCTCTTCGTTTCATTAGTAATGCATGTTTGCACGTTTCAAAGAGAAAACTCCTCGGTCATCGTCAAATAAGGCTCAGTGGTACACCACTATGACAGTGAAGCCATTTTGAGCTGGACTTGATCGATGTAGTTTTTTCTTTGGGATTTGCAGACTGTATTGCTTTATGTCACGTTTTTCATTCAACGTTTATACTGCCGTATCTACTTCCCCCCCATGCTAGGCCGGGGAAGCGGTAGTATAAATATAAATTTTGCGCAAAAATTCAAATTACCGGTAGAACCACGAGATGTATTCATCGATTTGATCGATAAATACATTTGTCTCTGTTGAGAATTCAGTAGAGAAGATGGAAGAGAAATATATGATCGTTTTGCTCGATCGGTATATTTCTCCACTGAAATTGTAACATCGATTCAAAGTGAAAAATCTTAAAATCTCTACTGTCTACAATTATGAATGGCGGCTAGAATAACAACATAGTGATCAAGATTTTTAGCTACTAAAACATGTGCAAGACATGATTTTTACTAGTAATGAATCATCTGAAAACGATGTGTAGATTTTTTAGAGTTAGGGGAAAATACAGAAATACCCCGAAAAATAAAATCCCTTCTAGTCGATTGCAATAGGTTGCTCCGCAACCCAAAAAACCCTCGCGAAGTTCCATGGCTGAGTTGTCATGGGTGCGCTAGCCTCGTGTACACAGTTTTCCGAGCCTTGTCTCTTGCTGACCTCCGTTGATTTGTTCAGGTCTTCAGGCCTGGTCCGTAGACTGCGGTGCCTACCACCGGAGAGTGCGGAAATCGGGTTACCTATCCGAGCCGCTCGTCCTTCAGGTGCCGTGAGATTACTACAGTACATAGTTGAAGCGGCCCGAGTCATCATGAACCTCCACTTCCACGCCTCTGGAAACATCACGCGGGATGATCCCCGGTGGGATAAACACAAAGGGCAAGCTTTGATGCAATATGCCCGAGTAAGGTTGTCCAGCGTACGTAGAAAATCTGTCGCGGTTTACAGATATGACCAGCAGTTCCGGAAAGTTCAGTAATGTTTGATAAAGGTCAGTTAAAGTAAATAAAATGAAGCTGCCCGTAACTGGCTGCTTCCAAACCAATGCCAAGCCCAACTTCGAATGCATCATTCATCATACCTTTCCTGGCTGGGTGCGTGTTCACCTGACGCAAGTAGAGTACACGCACATGGCTGGGCTGTACAGAACGTGGATACTCGCAGGGTAAAAGCGTGCTGGACTGCTTTTTCATTCGTGACATTCTTCCTCATGAGATACCCACATGGTGTTTCGCGGAGCTCACGCTCAGCCCGCTGCTGCGCGCTGCTGCCAACCTCGCCGCTTTTGCCGCTCAACACAGTGCACAGTGCAATACTATCCACACAGCTAAGCAAAATGCTGCTACGAAACTTGGGGGAAGTACAGCACGGCTCGAGTGGCAGGACTCCTTGGAAGGACTCCTTGTTGCAGGTGAACAGGTACAAATCGAGGCTGCTTTATCTACTCCGGATGCCGCTCCTCAGCAAGTTTGGATTTGCACGTCAATCGAGTTTGAATCATCGCATGGTAATTTCCCTCGAGATTCTTCTACTAGCCGCCCCCACCCCGAACTTCACTTGTCATCACTCGTCGAGCGAAGGAGCCGCCATAGAAGCGTGACTCGAACTAGGTTACAGCGAGGCGTGCGTCATAAACCATATCATTCACCGCGGCGACGGCCGTTAGCGAGTCTCGATTCGAGAGTCCACGCCGTCGCCTCGTCCGACTCACACGCGGGCCGCGCGCAGGCCGCCTTTCCCGTCCGCATTCCTTCCCCATCCGCATTTCGCAACCACCGCCAGGGGGTTGCTGACCTGCATAGCTCAGGCATCCACAGTTAGCCAGGTTTGCACATCCCGTACGAGCGGCGCAAGGGGGAGGTGTTCGGTCTTCTGACACGATGGATAGTCGCGGCTCGGCCTTTCCAGCCCACGCGCTTCGATTAGTAGCAGTCTTACTGATCATCACTTTCACCCCCGCCGCCGCTGGCCGGCGGATAGGTAAGCGGCCTCCAAACGTACCGCCGCCGGAGCAACAAGTCGCAGCACGCCCTTTATTGTCCTCAACGGCGTGCAGCACACTCTTTTTCGCCCCGCGCGGCGCCTATCATCGCCGATCAGCTCAATGCGACTCGTGGCTGATCAGCACATCTTTATCCGAGCATGTTGCCGCGTGGCACCGCACGGCACCGAGTCAAACCCAGGCCCCAGACCGTAAAACCTTCAATGAAGTTCAATCTTGACGACCTCTTCCCTCTTCTTTTCTCTCCTCTCCCTTCTCTCTCCCAATCCCCCCAATCCATTACAGACACACTCGATACAACGTCAAACGCGAATTCTGGCACAGCGACCTCTGTCGACGCGACAGCTGGCGCGGCGGCATCGGACCTCGCGGCGCTGGCGGTGGACGCGAAGACGCGTGCGGAGATTAAAGCCCTCGCGCCGCTGATGGGCAGCGCGGACCTGACGGGCGTCGATAAGCCGCCCGAACGCGCCTCGTACTTAACCAAAGACGATTTCGCCGCGGCGGCGCGCGAGTGGATCGCGACGGTGACCCGGCGCGTGCAGAAACTGATTCGGCAGGCGGGCGGCGGAGGCAAGGGGCGCGGGTCCAGCAAAAGGAACAGCGCGCGCGGGAACACCCCCCCTGTTGGTGAGAGTCACTTGCGGGCGATATTGAGGAATGGTGTTTTGCTCCTCGAGAATGGTGTTTGTTTTGATGGTGCTCTTTGAAAAAAAATCGTAACAATGATAAATGGAACACCCTAGGTTGTGGGACGAGCAAGGGGAACAGCGTGGGGGAAACTTCACTGCTGGTGGTGACAGTCGCAGGGCGGTCCGCGGTGGAATGGGGTAAAGGGCATGGGGTGTGTGGGCGGGGACTGTGAATGTGACTTCTTGCTCTAATGTTCTTCGAGAGGTCAGGCTGCAGGGCGGCAGGAAGCGGCACCAGTGCGGCACGAGGACGGCACGACCAGAGGACGGCACAAGGACGGCACAAGGACGGCACGAGGGCGGCACAGGACGGCACAAGGCCCACAGGGGGGCAGCACGGGGGTGGAAGCTAGCATGGAGGGTGGAGCGCTGCTGCTGGCGTGGGTGCTCTGCAAATTCTTCCTTATCTCACTCTCCTCCCCCTCACTCTCCCCCTCCTTCTCTCCCCCCTGCCCTCCCCTTCCTGACCCTCCCCCTCCTCCCGCCGCCAGACCGCAGTCTGGGGTACGTCCCCCCCACGACCAAGGACCTCAATCCCGCCAAGCTGCCCAATCTCAACACCGTGTCGCGCTACCTCACCATGGGTCTCACACTCGACCTCGCCTCGCAGAAGCTCTCTTGGGATTTCAAGCGCTTTGTGGACCACCGCTCGCTGTATAAGGCCGAGGACGGGTTCGACCAGGGCAACTGCGGTGCGTGCTGTGCTGTTGACCCCCGTTGACTGATATTGGCCTGCGTTGACTGGTGTTGACCTGGTTTGCTGGTGCTTCAAACGCTTCGTGGACCACAGCGTGCTGTTTACGGCTGAGGGCAGGTTCGACCAGGGCAATGGCGGTGTGCACTCTGGACTTCTGTTGACCCGCGTTGACTGCTGTGGACCCCCGTTGACTTCTGTTGACCTGCTTTTAGATGCGGTTGACCTGTGACTGCTGTTGACCTGTGTTGAACGATGTGTACTGATGTGACTGCTGTCGACGTGCGTTGACTGCTCTCGATCTGCGTGATTTCATTTCCCTGTGGGAGGTCAACGTTTTATTGACCTGGCCTCACATTTCATCGATTCCTCGCCTCCCAGGCTCCTGCTGGGCGTACGCGGCAGCCACGGCGATTCAGGGCACGTATGACCTGTGTTGACTGCTCTTGACCTGCGTTGACTGCTGTAGACCCTCGTTGTCCACTCTTGACCCGCATCTGCTGTCAACGCCTTCCCAGGTTCCTACTGGGCGCACGCGGCAGCGACGGGCGATTCAGGGCACAAACAGACCTTCCCCAGCGCTTTTTAGCCAGACCCCTACCCGCTTTTTATCGACTCCTCCCCATCATTGCAGGTTCCTGCTGGGCGCACGCGGCAGCGCGGGCGATTCAGGGCGCGTATGCTCTCTTCACAGACACGGACACGTTTCCCACGGGGACTGCGCTGTCGGTGCAGCAGCTGGTGGACTGCACGGGCGCTGCCGCCTCGTGCCGGGGGGGGTACCCCGAGGCTGCCCTGCAGTATGCTGTTAAGAACGGGTTGCAGAGCGAAGAGGGTTATTCGTACACTGGTGTCAACGGCAAGTGCAGCGACAACAAGGAGGCGGTGAGTTTTGAGTCGAGTCAAAAGGTGCCTTCTCGGTACCCCGAGGCTGCCCTGCAGTATGCCGTGAAGGGCGGGCTGCAGAGTGAAGAGAGCTACGCGTTCACGGGGTTCAACGGCAAGTGCGGCGTCAAGAAGGATGCGGTGAGTTGAGCGAAAAGGTAACTCGGTACCTTGAAGCAGCTCTGCAGTCGATCTGCAGCTCTTGTCGATCTACAGCTCTGCAGTCGATCTGCAGCTCTTGTCGATCTGCAGCTCTTGTCGATCTGCAGCTCTTGTCGATCTGCAGTACGCTGTGAAGACCAGGGCCGGGCTGCAGTACGCTGTGAAGACCAGGGCTGGGCTGCAGTACGCTGTGAAGACCAGGGCCGGGCTGCAGTACGCTGTGAAGACCAGGGCCGGGCTGCAGTACGCTGTGAAGACCAGGGCCGGGCTGCAGTACGCTGTGAAGACCAGGGCCGGGCTGCAGTACGCTGTGAAGACCAGGGCCGGGCTGCAGTACGCTGTGAAGACCAGGGCCGGGCTGCAGTACGCTGTGAAGACCAGGGCCGGGCTGCAGTACGCTGTGAAGACCAGGGCCGGGCTGCAGTACGCTGTGAAGACCAGGGCCGGGCTGCAGTACGCTGTGAAGACCAGGGCCGGGCTGCAGTACGCTGTGAAGACCAGGGCCGGGCTGCAGTACGCTGTGACGACCAGGGCCGGGCTGCAGTACGCTGTGAAGACCAGGGCCGGGCTGCAGATCGACAAGAGCTGCAGAGTGAATGAAGAGAGGTACTCGCACACGGGGGTCAGCGGCAAGTGCAGCGTCAAGAATGAGGCGGTGAGATATTGAGCCGATGAAAACGTGTTTGGAGTCACCTCCGAACCAAGAGGCTGCTCTTGAGTACAGTTACCTGAGCAGGGTTACCAGAGACACGGTGAGCAGGGTTACCAGAGACACGGTGAGCAAGGTTACCAGAGACACGGTGAGCAGGGTTACCAGAGACATGTTCCCTCTTTTTTGCCCATGCATGCTCCCCTCCCCTGCTAGTCTGAAAAAACGTGTCCCACACTTGTCTCATGCTCCCTCTTCCTTACTGTGTGCTTTCGCTTCGCTACCACCCCTCATCCCTCCTCCACCGATCTCAGGACGAAGTTAAACATTTCCATGTATGAGCAGGTGCCGTGGCTCTACTGGGGTCCTACCACACCGAAGTTTAACTGCTTTTGAGTCGACTCAAAAGTGCCGTGTCCCTACCGACCGGGGGCCTCCTTAGGCCGTGCATGTCCCATGCTCCCTCTTCCTCACCCAACTGTGCTTTCCCTCCCTTACCACTCCTCGCCCCTCGCCCCTACAATGCTTGTACACTGCTCCCTCATCCTTACCATGTGATTCTTCTTCCCTCCAACCCCTCCCTCCCTCCAACCCCTCCGTCCCTCCAACCTCTCCCTCCCTCCAACCCCTCCCCTCAGGTCTGAGGATAAGTGCAACGTTTTGACGCACGAGGAGGTGCCACTACCAGGACCGCTTCACCCCTTCTCACCCCGTTCCTAGCATGCGGCTCCGGTTCCTACCGCCCCTCACCCCTCTCCACCGCTCTCAGGAGAAGTGGAGCATCTCGATGTACGAGCAGGTGCCACTGCCGGGGCCGCTGGGGCTCATTCTCGCGCTGCAGAAGCAGCCCGTCATCGTCACCATCCGCGCCTCTGCGCAGGACTTTATTGACTACTCGGTGAGTTGACGCTGCTGCTGATGCTGATAGAATCACCCGTTAAAAGGTGAAGCAGCCCGTTATAGGGTGAAGCAGCCCGTCATCGTCACCATCCGCGCCTCCTCCCAAGACTTCATCGACTACACGGTGAGTTGGCGTTCAGCTGCTGCTGCTGCTGATAGAATCACCCGTTAAAAGGTGAAGCAGCCCGTTATAGGGTGAAGCAGCCCGTCATCGTCACCATCCGCGCCTCTGCGCAGGACTTTATTGACTACTCGGTGAGTTGGAGTTCAGCTGCTGCTGCTGCTGCTGCTGCTATGAACCATCCGCGCCTTTGCCCAGGACTTCATCGACTACTCGGTGAGAAGGGGTGTCTCCTTCCCGTTCCCTCCTCGTCCGTCCTTCCATTGTCCGTGCCTTCGTAGGAAGCTCTATGAACCATCCGCGCCTTTGCCCAGGAGTTTGATGTTCGGCTGCTGCCGCTCACAAAGACTGTCCATGCACACTTCAACGTCTCCACCATCCGCTCCGCGCCTCTGCCCAAGACTTTATCGAATACTCGGTAAGCTGCCTGGGGCTTTGCTGCCTCTCTTCCCTCCTCTCCTCAGTCCCATCCAGACTTTTGGGTCGAGTTTTGGGTCGAGTCAAAACACTCCTCATTCACATCTGCACTTTGGTTGGACTCAAAAGTCGCCATGTGATGCACGCAGGGTGGGAGGGGTACAACCATGAATGAAGGCCTGGTGAGGTGGGAAAGTCAAGGAGTCACTTTTTGCAGTCACCTTTTCAAGTAACTCGAACACACAAGAGGAGATGTGGAAACACAAGCGGATGACGCTCCTGTGAACCCGCAGCACACTGGCACTCTTCCCTCCTGCGTTCCTCCCCTCACAGGTAGGCATATTCGAGAGGTGGAACTGCTACGACCCCTTACGACACTGGCAGCACACTCGCAGCACACTGGCAGCACACTCGCAGCACACTGCCTCTTCCCTCCCCTCACATCCACCCACACACACCCCCCTTGCCTGCCTCCCCTCACAGGGAGGCATTTTCGAGAGCTGGAACTGCTACAGCCCCGTGGGGAAAGTCTTGGATTGTCTGATCCTTCTCCTGTCCTCTGTCCCACCCACCTACCTTCCCTCCCCTCCCTGCGTTCCTCCCCTCACAGGGAGGCATTTTCGAGAGCTGGAACTGCTATAGCCCCGTGGGGAAAGTCTGGGGGAGCGAAGGCTCAGGGCTGGGGGCGACGGCGACAGCCACCAACAACACAGGCCTCCTAGACCACGTGATGCTGGCCGTGGGGTATAACTATGAGGAGCCGGACAGCGGAGGCAACTACTTCATTCTGAAGAACAGCTGGGGACCGGACTGGGGCGAGGGCGGGTACATGAGGATACTCATGGAGAGCGGGCCGTTTGGCACGTGTGGCATGCTGGTCAACCGCGGGCTGTACCCTGTTGTGAGAGGTGAGTGAGAGGGGAGAGGGGTACGCTAGCACTCCGTTGTGAACGGTGAGTGAGAGGGGCCTTAGAGGGCTCTACTACCCTGTTGTGAACGGTGAGTGAAAGGGGCCTTAGAGGGCTCTAGTACCCCGATGCGCGTGTTTGCCGTGGTGGAAATCCGCCATGCTGTTTGGCACGTGCGGTTTGGCACGTGCGGTTTGGCACGTGCGGTTTGGCACGTGCGGTTCGGCACGTGCGGTTCGGCACGTGCGGTTCGGCACGTGCGGTTCGGCACGTGCGGTTTGGCACGTGCGGTTCGGCACGTGCGGTTCGGCACGTGCGGTTTGGCACGTGCGGTTCGGCACGTGCGGTTTGGCACGTGCGGTTTGGCACGTGCGGTTCGGCACGTGCGGTTCGGCACGTGCGGTTCGGCACGTGCGGTTCGGCACGTGCGGTTCGGCACGTGCGGTTCGGCACGTGCGGTTCGGCACGTGCGGTTCGGCACGTGCGGTTTGGCACGTGCGGTTTGGCACGTGCGGTTCGGCACGTGCGGTTCGGCACGTGCGGTTTGGCACGTGCGGTTTGGCACGTGCGGTTTGGCACGTGCGGTTTGGCACGTGCGGTTCGGCACGTGCGGTTCGGCACGTGCGGTTCGGCACGTGCGGTTCGGCACGTGCGGTTTGGCACGTGCGGTTCGGCACGTGCGGTTCGGCACGTGCGGTTCGGCACGTGCGGTTCGGCACGTGCGGTTTGGCACGTGCGGTTTGGCACGTGCGGTTTGGCACGTGCGGTTTGGCACGTGCGGTTCGGCACGTGCGGTTCGGCACGTGCGGTTCGGCACGTGCGGTTTGGCACGTGCGGTTTGGCACGTGCGGTTCGGCACGTGCGGTTCGGCACGTGCGGTTCGGCACGTGCGGTTCGGCACGTGCGGTTTGGCACGTGCGGTTCGGCACGTGCGGTTCGGCACGTGCGGTTCGGCACGTGCGGTTCGGCACGTGCGGTTCGGCACGTGCGGTTTGGCACGTGCGGTTCGGCACGTGCGGTTCGGCACGTGCGGTTTGGCACGTGCGGTTTGGCACGTGCGGTTCGGCACGTGCGGTTCGGCACGTGCGGTTTGGCACGTGCGGTTTGGCACGTGCGGTTTGGCACGTGCGGTTTGGCACGTGCGGTTCGGCACGTGCGGTTCGGCACGTGCGGTTCGGCACGTGCGGTTCGGCACGTGCGGTTTGGCACGTGCGGTTCGGCACGTGCGGTTCGGCACGTGCGGTTCGGCACGTGCGGTTCGGCACGTGCGGTTTGGCACGTGCGGTTTGGCACGTGCGGTTTGGCACGTGCGGTTTGGCACGTGCGGTTCGGCACGTGCGGTTCGGCACGTGCGGTTCGGCACGTGCGGTTTGGCACGTGCGGTTTGGCACGTGCGGTTCGGCACGTGCGGTTCGGCACGTGCGGTTCACGTGCGGTTCGGCACGTGCGGTTTGGCACGTGCGGTTCGGCACGTGCGGTTCGGCACGTGCGGTTCGGCACGTGCGGTTTGGCACGTGCGGTTTGGCACGTGCGGTTCGGCACGTGCGGTTCGGCACGTGCGGTTTGGCACGTGCGGTTTGGCACGTGCGGTTTGGCACGTGCGGTTCGGCACGTGCGGTTCGGCACGTGCGGTTCGGCACGTGCGGTTTGGCACGTGCGGTTCGGCACGTGCGGTTCGGCACGTGCGGTTTGGCACGTGCGGTTCGGCACGTGCGGTTCGGCACGTGCGGTTTGGCACGTGCGGTTCGGCACGTGCGGTTTGGCACGTGCGGTTTGGCACGTGCGGTTCGGCACGTGCGGTTCGGCACGTGCGGTTCGGCACGTGCGGTTCGGCACGTGCGGTTCGGCACGTGCGGTTTGGCACGTGCGGTTCGGCACGTGCGGTTCGGCACGTGCGGTTTGGCACGTGCGGTTTGGCACGTGCGGTTCGGCACGTGCGGTTCGGCACGTGCGGTTTGGCACGTGCGGTTTGGCACGTGCGGTTTGGCACGTGCGGTTTGGCACGTGCGGTTCGGCACGTGCGGTTCGGCACGTGCGGTTCGGCACGTGCGGTTCGGCACGTGCGGTTTGGCACGTGCGGTTCGGCACGTGCGGTTCGGCACGTGCGGTTCGGCACGTGCGGTTCGGCACGTGCGGTTTGGCACGTGCGGTTTGGCACGTGCGGTTTGGCACGTGCGGTTTGGCACGTGCGGTTCGGCACGTGCGGTTCGGCACGTGCGGTTCGGCACGTGCGGTTTGGCACGTGCGGTTTGGCACGTGCGGTTCGGCACGTGCGGTTCGGCACGTGCGGTTCGGCACGTGCGGTTCGGCACGTGCGGTTTGGCACGTGCGGTTCGGCACGTGCGGTTCGGCACGTGCGGTTCGGCACGTGCGGTTCGGCACGTGCGGTTCGGCACGTGCGGTTTGGCACGTGCGGTTCGGCACGTGCGGTTCGGCACGTGCGGTTTGGCACGTGCGGTTTGGCACGTGCGGTTCGGCACGTGCGGTTCGGCACGTGCGGTTTGGCACGTGCGGTTTGGCACGTGCGGTTTGGCACGTGCGGTTTGGCACGTGCGGTTCGGCACGTGCGGTTCGGCACGTGCGGTTCGGCACGTGCGGTTCGGCACGTGCGGTTTGGCACGTGCGGTTCGGCACGTGCGGTTCGGCACGTGCGGTTCGGCACGTGCGGTTCGGCACGTGCGGTTTGGCACGTGCGGTTTGGCACGTGCGGTTTGGCACGTGCGGTTTGGCACGTGCGGTTCGGCACGTGCGGTTCGGCACGTGCGGTTCGGCACGTGCGGTTTGGCACGTGCGGTTTGGCACGTGCGGTTCGGCACGTGCGGTTCGGCACGTGCGGTTCGGCACGTGCGGTTCGGCACGTGCGGTTTGGCACGTGCGGTTCGGCACGTGCGGTTCGGCACGTGCGGTTCGGCACGTGCGGTTTGGCACGTGCGGTTTGGCACGTGCGGTTCGGCACGTGCGGTTCGGCACGTGCGGTTTGGCACGTGCGGTTTGGCACGTGCGGTTTGGCACGTGCGGTTCGGCACGTGCGGTTCGGCACGTGCGGTTCGGCACGTGCGGTTCGGCACGTGCGGTTTGGCACGTGCGGTTCGGCACGTGCGGTTCGGCACGTGCGGTTTGGCACGTGCGGTTTGGCACGTGCGGTTTGGCACGTGCGGTTTGGCACGTGCGGTTTGGCACGTGCGGTTCGGCACGTGCGGTTCGGCACGTGCGGTTCGGCACGTGCGGTTCGGCACGTGCGGTTTGGCACGTGCGGTTTGGCACGTGCGGTTTGGCACGTGCGGTTTGGCACGTGCGGTTCGGCACGTGCGGTTCGGCACGTGCGGTTTGGCACGTGCGGTTTGGCACGTGCGGTTTGGCACGTGCGGTTCGGCACGTGCGGTTCGGCACGTGCGGTTCGGCACGTGCGGTTCGGCACGTGCGGTTCGGCACGTGCGGTTCGGCACGTGCGGTTCGGCACGTGCGGTTCGGCACGTGCGGTTTGGCACGTGCGGTTCGGCACGTGCGGTTCGGCACGTGCGGTTCGGCACGTGCGGTTCGGCACGTGCGGTTCGGCACGTGCGGTTCGGCACGTGCGGTTCGGCACGTGCGGTTCGGCACGTGCGGTTTGGCACGTGCGGTTCGGCACGTGCGGTTCGGCACGTGCGGTTCGGCACGTGCGGTTTGGCACGTGCGGTTTGGCACGTGCGGTTTGGCACGTGCGGTTCGGCACGTGCGGTTCGGCACGTGCGGTTCGGCACGTGCGGTTCGGCACGTGCGGTTTGGCACGTGCGGTTCGGCACGTGCGGTTCGGCACGTGCGGTTCGGCACGTGCGGTTCGGCACGTGCGGTTTGGCACGTGCGGTTCGGCACGTGCGGTTCGGCACGTGCGGTTCGGCACGTGCGGTTTGGCACGTGCGGTTTGGCACGTGCGGTTCGGCACGTGCGGTTCGGCACGTGCGGTTCGGCACGTGCGGTTTGGCACGTGCGGTTTGGCACGTGCGGTTCGGCACGTGCGGTTCGGCACGTGCGGTTCGGCACGTGCGGTTCGGCACGTGCGGTTTGGCACGTGCGGTTCGGCACGTGCGGTTCGGCACGTGCGGTTTGGCACGTGCGGTTTGGCACGTGCGGTTTGGCACGTGCGGTTTGGCACGTGCGGTTTGGCACGTGCGGTTCGGCACGTGCGGTTCGGCACGTGCGGTTCGGCACGTGCGGTTCGGCACGTGCGGTTTGGCACGTGCGGTTTGGCACGTGCGGTTTGGCACGTGCGGTTTGGCACGTGCGGTTCGGCACGTGCGGTTCGGCACGTGCGGTTTGGCACGTGCGGTTTGGCACGTGCGGTTTGGCACGTGCGGTTTGGCACGTGCGGTTCGGCACGTGCGGTTCGGCACGTGCGGTTCGGCACGTGCGGTTCGGCACGTGCGGTTCGGCACGTGCGGTTCGGCACGTGCGGTTCGGCACGTGCGGTTCGGCACGTGCGGTTTGGCACGTGCGGTTTGGCACGTGCGGTTTGGCACGTGCGGTTTGGCACGTGCGGTTCGGCACGTGCGGTTCGGCACGTGCGGTTCGGCACGTGCGGTTTGGCACGTGCGGTTTGGCACGTGCGGTTTGGCACGTGCGGTTCGGCACGTGCGGTTCGGCACGTGCGGTTCGGCACGTGCGGTTCGGCACGTGCGGTTCGGCACGTGCGGTTTGGCACGTGCGGTTCGGCACGTGCGGTTCGGCACGTGCGGTTTGGCACGTGCGGTTTGGCACGTGCGGTTTGGCACGTGCGGTTTGGCACGTGCGGTTTGGCACGTGCGGTTCGGCACGTGCGGTTCGGCACGTGCGGTTCGGCACGTGCGGTTTGGCACGTGCGGTTCGGCACGTGCGGTTCGGCACGTGCGGTTTGGCACGTGCGGTTTGGCACGTGCGGTTGGCACGTGCGGTTCGGCACGTGCGGTTCGGCACGTGCGGTTCGGCACGTGCGGTTCGGCACGTGCGGTTTGGCACGTGCGGTTCGGCACGTGCGGTTCGGCACGTGCGGTTTGGCACGTGCGGTTTGGCACGTGCGGTTTGGCACGTGCGGTTTGGCACGTGCGGTTTGGCACGTGCGGTTCGGCACGTGCGGTTCGGCACGTGCGGTTCGGCACGTGCGGTTCGGCACGTGCGGTTTGGCACGTGCGGTTTGGCACGTGCGGTTTGGCACGTGCGGTTTGGCACGTGCGGTTCGGCACGTGCGGTTCGGCACGTGCGGTTTGGCACGTGCGGTTTGGCACGTGCGGTTTGGCACGTGCGGTTTGGCACGTGCGGTTCGGCACGTGCGGTTCGGCACGTGCGGTTCGGCACGTGCGGTTCGGCACGTGCGGTTCGGCACGTGCGGTTCGGCACGTGCGGTTCGGCACGTGCGGTTTCGGCACGTGCGGTTTGGCACGTGCGGTTTGGCACGTGCGGTTTGGCACGTGCGGTTTGGCACGTGCGGTTCGGCACGTGCGGTTCGGCACGTGCGGTTTGGCACGTGCGGTTTGGCACGTGCGGTTTGGCACGTGCGGTTTGGCACGTGCGGTTCGGCACGTGCGGTTCGGCACGTGCGGTTCGGCACGTGCGGTTCGGCACGTGCGGTTCGGCACGTGCGGTTTGGCACGTGCGGTTCGGCACGTGCGGTTCGGCACGTGCGGTTTGGCACGTGCGGTTTGGCACGTGCGGTTTGGCACGTGCGGTTTGGCACGTGCGGTTTGGCACGTGCGGTTTGGCACGTGCGGTTCGGCACGTGCGGTTCGGCACGTGCGGTTCGGCACGTGCGGTTTGGCACGTGCGGTTCGGCACGTGCGGTTCGGCACGTGCGGTTTGGCACGTGCGGTTTGGCACGTGCGGTTTGGCACGTGCGGTTCGGCACGTGCGGTTCGGCACGTGCGGTTCGGCACGTGCGGTTCGGCACGTGCGGTTTGGCACGTGCGGTTCGGCACGTGCGGTTCGGCACGTGCGGTTTGGCACGTGCGGTTTGGCACGTGCGGTTTGGCACGTGCGGTTTGGCACGTGCGGTTTGGCACGTGCGGTTCGGCACGTGCGGTTCGGCACGTGCGGTTCGGCACGTGCGGTTCGGCACGTGCGGTTCGGCACGTGCGGTTTGGCACGTGCGGTTTGGCACGTGCGGTTTGGCACGTGCGGTTCGGCACGTGCGGTTCGGCACGTGCGGTTTGGCACGTGCGGTTTGGCACGTGCGGTTTGGCACGTGCGGTTTGGCACGTGCGGTTCGGCACGTGCGGTTCGGCACGTGCGGTTCGGCACGTTCGGTTCGGCACGTGCGGTTCGGCACGTGCGGTTCGGCACGTGCGGTTTCGGCACGTGCGGTTTGGCACGTGCGGTTTGGCACGTGCGGTTCGGCACGTGCGGTTCGGCACGTGCGGTTCGGCACGTGCGGTTCGGCACGTGCGGTTCGGCACGTGCGGTTCGGCACGTGCGGTTCGGCACGTGCGGTTCGGCACGTGCGGTTTGGCACGTGCGGTTTGGCACGTGCGGTTTGGCACGTGCGGTTCGGCACGTGCGGTTCGGCACGTGCGGTTCGGCACGTGCGGTTCGGCACGTGCGGTTCGGCACGTGCGGTTTGGCACGTGCGGTTTGGCACGTGCGGTTCGGCACGTGCGGTTCGGCACGTGCGGTTCGGCACGTGCGGTTTCGGCACGTGCGGTTTGGCACGTGCGGTTTGGCACGTGCGGTTTGGCACGTGCGGTTTGGCACGTGCGGTTCGGCACGTGCGGTTCGGCACGTGCGGTTCGGCACGTGCGGTTCGGCACGTGCGGTTCGGCACGTGCGGTTTGGCACGTGCGGTTTGGCACGTGCGGTTCGGCACGTGCGGTTCGGCACGTGCGGTTCGGCACGTGCGGTTTCGGCACGTGCGGTTTGGCACGTGCGGTTTGGCACGTGCGGTTGGCACGTGCGGTTCGGCACGTGCGGTTCGGCACGTGCGGTTCGGCACGTGCGGTTCGGCACGTGCGGTTTGGCACGTGCGGTTTGGCACGTGCGGTTTGGCACGTGCGGTTCGGCACGTGCGGTTCGGCACGTGCGGTTCGGCACGTGCGGTTCGGCACGTGCGGTTTGGCACGTGCGGTTTGGCACGTGCGGTTTGGCACGTGCGGTTCGGCACGTGCGGTTCGGCACGTGCGGTTCGGCACGTGCGGTTCGGCACGTGCGGTTCGGCACGTGCGGTTCGGCACGTGCGGTTCGGCACGTGCGGTTCGGCACGTGCGGTTCGGCACGTGCGGTTTGGCACGTGCGGTTTGGCACGTGCGGTTTGGCACGTGCGGTTGGGCACGTGCGGTTCGGCACGTGCGGTTTGGCACGTGCGGTTTGGCACGTGCGGTTTGGCACGTGCGGTTTGGCACGTGCGCTTTGGCACGTGCGCTTCGGCACGTGCGGTTCGGCACGTGCGGTTCGGCACGTGCGGTTTGGCACGTGCGGTTCGGCACGTGCGGTTCGGCACGTGCGGTTCGGCACGTGCGGTTCGGCACGTGCGGTTCGGCACGTGCGGTTCGGCACGTGCGGTTCGGCACGTGCGGTTCGGCACGTGCGGTTCGGCACGTGCGGTTTGGCACGTGCGGTTCGGCACGTGCGGTTCGGCACGTGCGGTTTGGCACGTGCGGTTTGGCACGTGCGGTTTGGCACGTGCGGTTTGGCACGTGCGGTTTGGCACGTGCGGTTCGGCACGTGTGGTTCGGCACGTGCGGTTTGGCACGTGCGGTTCGGCACGTGCGGTTCGGCACGTGCGGTTCGGCACGTGCGGTTCGGCACGTGCGGTTTGGCACGTGCGGTTTGGCACGTGCGGTTTGGCACGTGCGGTTCGGCACGTGCGGTTTGGCACGTGCGGTTTGGCACGTGCGGTTTGGCACGTGCGGTTCGGCACGTGCGGTTCGGCACGTGCGGTTTGGCACGTGCGGTTCGGCACGTGCGGTTCGGCACGTGCGGTTTGGCACGTGCGGTTCGGCACGTGCGGTTCGGCACGTGCGGTTCGGCACGTGCGGTTCGGCACGTGCGGTTTGGCACGTGCGGTTTGGCACGTGCGGTTCGGCACGTGCGGTTCGGCACGTGCGGTTCGGCACGTGCGGTTCGGCACGTGCGGTTCGGCACGTGCGGTTCGGCACGTGCGGTTCGGCACGTGCGGTTCGGCACGTGCGGTTTGGCACGTGCGGTTTGGCACGTGCGGTTTGGCACGTGCGGTTTGGCACGTGCGATTCGGCACGTGCGGTTCGGCACGTGCGGTTCGGCACGTGCGGTTCGGCACGTGCGGTTTGGCACGTGCGGTTTGGCACGTGCGGTTTGGCACGTGCGGTTCGGCACGTGCGGTTCGGCACGTGCGGTTCGGCACGTGCGGTTTGGCACGTGCGGTTTGGCACGTGCGGTTTGGCACGTGCGGTTTGGCACGTGCGCTTTGGCACGTGCGCTTCGGCACGTGCGGTTCGGCACGTGCGGTTCGGCACGTGCGGTTCGGCACGTGCGGTTCGGCACGTGCGGTTCGGCACGTGCGGTTTGGCACGTGCGGGTTGGCACGTGCGGTTTGGCACGTGCGGTTCGGCACGTGCGGTTCGGCACGTGCGGTTCGGCACGTGCGGTTCGGCACGTGCGGTTCGGCACGTGCGGTTCGGCACGTGCGGTTCGGCACGTGCGGTTCGGCACGTGCGGTTCGGCACGTGCGGTTCGGCACGTGCGGTTCGGCACGTGCGGTTCGGCACGTGCGGTTTGGCACGTGCGGTTTGGCACGTGCGGTTCGGCACGTGCGGTTCGGCACGTGCGGTTCGGCACGTGCGGTTCGGCACGTGCGGTTCGGCACGTGCGGTTCGGCACGTGCGGTTTGGCACGTGCGGTTTGGCACGTGCGGTTTGGCACGTGCGGTTCGGCACGTGCGGTTCGGCACGTGCGGTTCGGCACGTGCGGTTCGCCACGTGCGGTTTGGCACGTGCGGTTCGGCACGTGCGGTTCGGCACGTGCGGTTCGGCACGTGCGGTTTGGCACGTGCGGTTTGGCACGTGCGGTTTGGCACGTGCGGTTTGGCACGTGCGGTTCGGCACGTGCGGTTCGGCACGTGCGGTTCGGCACGTGCGGTTCGGCACGTGCGGTTTGGCACGTGCGGTTTGGCACGTGCGGTTTGGCACGTGCGGTTTGGCACGTGCGGTTCGGCACGTGCGGTTCGGCACGTGCGGTTTGGCACGTGCGGTTTGGCACGTGCGGTTTGGCACGTGCGGTTTGGCACGTGCGGTTCGGCACGTGCGGTTCGGCACGTGCGGTTCGGCACGTGCGGTTCGGCACGTGCGGTTCGGCACGTGCGGTTCGGCACGTGCGGTTCGGCACGTGCGGTTCGGCACGTGCGGTTCGGCACGTGCGGTTCGGCACGTGCGGTTCGGCACGTGCGGTTCGGCACGTGCGGTTCGGCACGTGCGGTGGCACGTGCGGTTCGGCACGTGCGGTTTGGCACGTGCGGTTTGGCACGTGCGGTTTGGCACGTGCGGTTTGGCACGTGCGGTTCGGCACGTGCGGTTCGGCACGTGCGGTTCGGCACGTGCGGTTCGGCACGTGCGGTTCGGCACGTGCGGTTTGGCACGTGCGGTTTGGCACGTGCGGTTCGGCACGTGCGGTTCGGCACGTGCGGTTCGGCACGTGCGGTTCGGCACGTGCGGTTTGGCACGTGCGGTTTGGCACGTGCGGTTTGGCACGTGCGGTTTGGCACGTGCGGTTCGGCACGTGCGGTTCGGCACGTGCGGTTCGGCACGTGCGGTTCGGCACGTGCGGTTCGGCACGTGCGGTTTGGCACGTGCGGTTTGGCACGTGCGGTTTGGCACGTGCGGTTTGGCACGTGCGGTTCGGCACGTGCGGTTCGGCACGTGCGGTTCGGCACGTGCGGTTCGGCACGTGCGGTTTGGCACGTGCGGTTTGGCACGTGCGGTTTGGCACGTGCGGTTCGGCACGTGCGGTTCGGCACGTGCGGTTCGGCACGTGCGGTTCGGCACGTGCGGTTTGGCACGTGCGGTTTGGCACGTGCGGTTTGGCACGTGCGGTTCGGCACGTGCGGTTCGGCACGTGCGGTTCGGCACGTGCGGTTTGGCACGTGCGGTTTGGCACGTGCGGTTTGGCACGTGCGGTTTGGCACGTGCGGTTCGGCACGTGCGGTTCGGCACGTGCGGTTCGGCACGTGCGGTTCGGCACGTGCGGTTCGGCACGTGCGGTTCGGCACGTGCGGTTCGGCACGTGCGGTTCGGCACGTGCGGTTCGGCACGTGCGGTTTGGCACGTGCGGTTTGGCACGTGCGGTTTGGCACGTGCGGTTTGGCACGTGCGGTTCGGCACGTGCGGTTCGGCACGTGCGGTTCGGCACGTGCGGTTCGGCACGTGCGGTTCGGCACGTGCGGTTTGGCACGTACGGTTTGGCACGTGCGGTTTGGCACGTGCGGTTTGGCACGTGCGGTTCGGCACGTGCGGTTCGGCACGTGCGGTTTGGCACGTGCGGTTTGGCACGTGCGGTTTGGCACGTGCGGTTTGGCACGTGCGCTTTGGCACGTGCGCTTCGGCACGTGCGCTTCGGCACGTGCGGTTCGGCACGTGCGGTTTGGCACGTGCGGTTTGGCACGTGCGGTTCGGCACGTGCGGTTCGGCACGTGCGGTTCGGCACGTGCGGTTCGGCACGTGCGGTTCGGCACGTGCGGTTCGGCACGTGCGGTTCGGCACGTGCGGTTTGGCACGTGCGGTTCGGCACGTGCGGTTCGGCACGTGCGGTTTGGCACGTGCGGTTTGGCACGTGCGGTTTGGCACGTGCGGTTTGGCACGTGCGGTTTGGCACGTGCGGTTCGGCACGTGTGGTTCGGCACGTGCGGTTTGGCACGTGCGGTTCGGCACGTGCGGTTCGGCACGTGCGGTTCGGCACGTGCGGTTCGGCACGTGCGGTTTGGCACGTGCGGTTTGGCACGTGCGGTTTGGCACGTGCGGTTCGGCACGTGCGGTTTGGCACGTGCGGTTTGGCACGTGCGGTTTGGCACGTGCGGTTCGGCACGTGCGGTTCGGCACGTGCGGTTTGGCACGTGCGGTTCGGCACGTGCGGTTCGGCACGTGCGGTTCGGCACGTGCGGTTCGGCACGTGCGGTTCGGCACGTGCGGTTCGGCACGTGCGGTTCGGCACGTGCGGTTTGGCACGTGCGGTTCGGCACGTGCGGTTCGGCACGTGCGGTTCGGCACGTGCGGTTCGGCACGTGCGGTTCGGCACGTGCGGTTCGGCACGTGCGGTTCGGCACGTGCGGTTCGGCACGTGCGGTTCGGCACGTGCGGTTTGGCACGTGCGGTTTGGCACGTGCGGTTTGGCACGTGCGGTTCGGCACGTGCGGTTCGGCACGTGCGGTTCGGCACGTGCGGTTCGGCACGTGCGGTTCGGCACGTGCGGTTTGGCACGTGCGGTTTGGCACGTGCGGTTTGGCACGTGCGGTTCGGCACGTGCGGTTCGGCACGTGCGGTTCGGCACGTGCGGTTTGGCACGTGCGGTTTGGCACGTGCGGTTTGGCACGTGCGGTTTGGCACGTGCGCTTTGGCACGTGCGGTTCGGCACGTGCGGTTCGGCACGTGCGGTTCGGCACGTGCGGTTCGGCACGTGCGGTTTGGCACGTGCGGTTGGGCACGTGCGGTTGGGCACGTGCGGTTTGGCACGTGCGGTTTGGCACGTGCGGTTCGGCACGTGCGGTTCGGCACGTGCGGTTCGGCACGTGCGGTTTGGCACGTGCGGTTTGGCACGTGCGGTTTGGCACGTGCGGTTTGGCACGTGCGGTTTGGCACGTGCGGTTCGGCACGTGCGGTTCGGCACGTGCGGTTCGGCACGTGCGGTTCGGCACGTGCGGTTTGGCACGTGCGGTTCGGCACGTGCGGTTCGGCACGTGCGGTTTGGCACGTGCGGTTTGGCACGTGCGGTCTGGCACGTGCGGTTTGGCACGTGCGGTTTGGCACGTGCGGTTCGGCACGTGCGGTTCGGCACGTGCGGTTCGGCACGTGCGGTTCGGCACGTGCGGTTCGGCACGTGCGGTTCGGCACGTGCGGTTTGGCACGTGCGGTTTGGCACGTGCGGTTCGGCACGTGCGGTTCGGCACGTGCGGTTCGGCACGTGCGGTTCGGCACGTGCGGTTTGGCACGTGCGGTTCGGCACGTGCGGTTCGGCACGTGCGGTTCGGCACGTGCGGTTCGGCACGTGCGGTTCGGCACGTGCGGTTCGGCACGTGCGGTTCGGCACGTGCGGTTTGGCACGTGCGGTTTGGCACGTGCGGTTCGGCACGTGCGGTTCGGCACGTGCGGTTCGGCACGTGCGGTTCGGCACGTGCGGTTCGGCACGTGCGGTTCGGCACGTGCGGTTCGGCACGTGCGGTTCGGCACGTGCGGTTCGGCACGTGCGGTTCGGCACGTGCGGTTTGGCACGTGCGGTTTGGCACGTGCGGTTTGGCACGTGCGGTTTGGCACGTGCGGTTCGGCACGTGCGGTTCGGCACGTGCGGTTCGGCACGTGCGGTTCGGCACGTGCGGTTTGGCACGTGCGGTTTGGCACGTGCGGTTTGGCACGTGCGGTTCGGCACGTGCGGTTCGGCACGTGCGGTTTGGCACGTGCGGTTTGGCACGTGCGGTTGGGCACGTGCGGTTGGGCACGTGCGGTTGGGCACGTGCGGTTCGGCACGTGCGGTTTGGCACGTGCGGTTTGGCACGTGCGGTTTGGCACGTGCGGTTCGGCACGTGCGGTTCGGCACGTGCGGTTCGGCACGTGCGGTTCGGCACGTGCGGTTTGGCACGTGCGGTTTGGCACGTGCGGTTTGGCACGTGCGGTTCGGCACGTGCGGTTCGGCACGTGCGGTTTGGCACGTGCGGTTTGGCACGTGCGGTTCGGCACGTGCGGTTCGGCACGTGCGGTTCGGCACGTGCGGTTCGGCACGTGCGGTTTGGCACGTGCGGTTTGGCACGTGCGGTTCGGCACGTGCGGTTCGGCACGTGCGGTTCGGCACGTGCGGTTCGGCACGTGCGGTTCGGCACGTGCGGTTCGGCACGTGCGGTTTGGCACGTGCGGTTTGGCACGTGCGGTTTGGCACGTGCGGTTTGGCACGTGCGGTTCGGCACGTTCGGTTCGGCACGTGCGGTTCGGCACGTGCGGTTTGGCACGTGCGGTTTGGCACGTGCGGTTTGGCACGTGCGGTTCGGCACGTGCGGTTCGGCACGTGCGGTTCGGCACGTGCGGTTCGGCACGTGCGGTTCGGCACGTGCGGTTCGGCACGTGCGGTTTGGCACGTGCGGTTTGGCACGTGCGGTTCGGCACGTGCGGTTCGGCACGTGCGGTTCGGCACGTGCGGTTCGGCACGTGCGGTTCGGCACGTGCGGTTCGGCACGTGCGGTTCGGCACGTGCGGTTCGGCACGTGCGGTTCGGCACGTGCGGTTCGGCACGTGCGGTTTGGCACGTGCGGTTTGGCACGTGCGGTTCGGCACGTGCGGTTCGGCACGTGCGGTTCGGCACGTGCGGTTCGGCACGTGCGGTTCGGCACGTGCGGTTCGGCACGTGCGGTTTGGCACGTGCGGTTCGGCACGTGCGGTTCGGCACGTGCGGTTCGGCACGTGCGGTTTGGCACGTGCGGTTTGGCACGTGCGGTTGGGCACGTGCGGTTGGGCACGTGCGGTTGGGCACGTGCGGTTCGGCACGTGCGGTTTGGCACGTGCGGTTCGGCACGTGCGGTTCGGCACGTGCGGTTCGGCACGTGCGGTTCGGCACGTGCGGTTCGGCACGTGCGGTTCGGCACGTGCGGTTCGGCACGTGCGGTTTGGCACGTGCGGTTTGGCACGTGCGGTTTTGGCACGTGCGGTTTGGCACGTGAGGTTCGGCACGTGCGGTTCGGCACGTGCGGTTCGGCACGTGCGGTTCGGCACGTGCGGTTCGGCACGTGCGGTTCGGCACGTGCGGTTCGGCACGTGCGGTTCGGCACGTGCGGTTTGGCACGTGCGGTTCGGCACGTGCGGTTCGGCACGTGCGGTTGGGCACGTGCGGTTCGGCACGTGCGGTTCGGCACGTGCGGTTCGGCACGTGCGGTTTGGCACGTGCGGTTTGGCACGTGCGGTTTGGCACGTGCGGTTCGGCACGTGCGGTTCGGCACGTTCGGTTCGGCACGTGCGGTTCGGCACGTGCGGTTTGGCACGTGCGGTTTGGCACGTGCGGTTTGGCACGTGCGGTTCGGCACGTGCGGTTCGGCACGTGCGGTTCGGCACGTGCGGTTCGGCACGTGCGGTTCGGCACGTGCGGTTCGGCACGTGCGGTTTGGCACGTGCGGTTTGGCACGTGCGGTTTGGCACGTGCGGTTTGGCACGTGCGGTTTGGCACGTGCGGTTTGGCACGTGCGGTTTGGCACGTGCGGTTCGGCACGTGCGGTTCGGCACGTGCGGTTCGGCACGTGCGGTTCGGCACGTGCGGTTCGGCACGTGCGGTCGGCACGTGCGGTTTGGCACGTGCGGTTTGGCACGTGCGGTTTGGCACGTGCGGTTTGGCACGTGCGGTTCGGCACGTGCGGTTCGGCACGTGCGGTTCGGCACGTGCGGTTCGGCACGTGCGGTTTGGCACGTGCGGTTTGGCACGTGCGGTTCGGCACGTGCGGTTCGGCACGTGCGGTTCGGCACGTGCGGTTCGGCACGTGCGGTTCGGCACGTGCGGTTCGGCACGTGCGGTTCGGCACGTGCGGTTCGGCACGTGCGGTTCGGCACGTGCGGTTCGGCACGTGCGGTTCGGCACGTGCGGTTCGGCACGTGCGGTTCGGCACGTGCGGTTCGGCACGTGCGGTTCGGCACGTGCGGTTCGGCACGTGCGGTTCGGCACGTGCGGTTCGGCACGTGCGGTTTGGCACGTGCGGTTTGGCACGTGCGGTTTGGCACGTGCGGTTTGGCACGTGCGGTTTGGCACGTGCGGTTTGGCACGTGCGGTTCGGCACGTGCGGTTCGGCACGTGCGGTTCGGCACGTGCGGTTCGGCACGTGCGGTTCGGCACGTGCGGTTCGGCACGTGCGGTTCGGCACGTGCGGTTTGGCACGTGCGGTTTGGCACGTGCGGTTCGGCACGTTCGGTTCGGCACGTGCGGTTCGGCACGTGCGGTTCGGCACGTGCGGTTCGGCACGTGCGGTTCGGCACGTGCGGTTCGGCACGTGCGGTTTGGCACGTGCGGTTTGGCACGTGCGGTTTGGCACGTGCGGTTTGGCACGTGCGGTTTGGCACGCGCGGTTTGGCACGCGCGGTTCGGCACGTGCGGTTCGGCACGTGCGGTTCGGCACGTGCGGTTGGCACGTGCGGTTGGCACGTGCGGTTCGGCACGTGCGGTTCGGCACGTGCGGTTCGGCACGTGCGGTTCGGCACGTGCGGTTCGGCACGTGCGGATCGGCACGTGCGGTTCGGCACGTGCGGTTCGGCACGTGCGGTTCGGCACGTGCGGTTCGGCACGTGCGGTTCGGCACGTGCGGTTCGGCACGTGCGGTTCGGCACGTGCGGTTTGGCACGTGCGGTTTGGCACGTGCGGTTTGGCACGTGCGGTTCGGCACGTGCGGTTCGGCACGTGCGGTTTGGCACGTGCGGTTTGGCACGTGCGGTTCGGCACGTGCGGTTCGGCACGTGCGGTTCGGCACGTGCGGTTCGGCACGTGCGGTTCGGCACGTGCGGTTCGGCACGTGCGGTTTGGCACGTGCGGTTTGGCACGTGCGGTTCGGCACGTGCGGTTCGGCACGTGCGGTTCGGCACGTGCGGTTCGGCACGTGCGGTTCGGCACGTGCGGTTTGGCACGTGCGGTTTGGCACGTGCGGTTCGGCACGTGCGGTTCGGCACGTGCGGTTCGGCACGTGCGGTTCGGCACGTGCGGTTCGGCACGTGCGGTTCGGCACGTGCGGTTCGGCACGTGCGGTTCGGCACGTGCGGTTCGGCACGTGCCGTGCGGTTCGGCACGTGCGGTTCGGCACGTGCGGTTTGGCACGTGCGGTTTGGCACGTGCGGTTTGGCACGTGCGGTTTGGCACGTGCGGTTTGGCACGTGCGGTTTGGCACGTGCGGTTTGGCACGTGCGGTTTGGCACGTGCGGTTCGGCACGTGCGGTTCGGCACGTGCGGTTCGGCACGTGCGGTTCGGCACGTGCGGTTCGGCACGTGCGGTTCGGCACGTGCGGTTCGGCACGTGCGGTTCGGCACGTGCGGTTCGGCACGTGCGGTTCGGCACGTGCGGTTCGGCACGTGCGGTTCGGCACGTGCGGTTCGGCACGTGCGGTTCGGCACGTGCGGTTCGGCACGTGCGGTTCGGCACGTGCGGTTCGGCACGTGCGGTTCGGCACGTGCGGTTCGGCACGTGCGGTTTGGCACGTGCGGTTTGGCACGCGCGGTTCGGCACGCGCGGTTCGGCACGCGCGGTTCGGCACGTGCGGTTCGGCACGTGCGGTTCGGCACGTGCGGTTCGGCACGTGCGGTTCGGCACGTGCGGTTCGGCACGTGCGGTTCGGCACGTGCGGTTCGGCACGTGCGGTTCGGCACGTGCGGTTCGGCACGTGCGGATCGGCACGTGCGGTTCGGCACGTGCGGTTCGGCACGTGCGGTTCGGCACGTGCGGTTCGGCACGTGCGGTTCGGCACGTGCGGTTCGGCACGTGCGGTTCGGCACGTGCGGTTCGGCACGTGCGGTTCGGCACGTGCGGTTCGGCACGTGCGGTTCGGCACGTGCGGTTCGGCACGTGCGGTTCGGCACGTGCGGTTCGGCACGTGCGGTTCGGCACGTGCGGTTCGGCACGTGCGGTTTGGCACGTGCGGTTTGGCACGTGCGGTTTGGCACGTGCGGTTCGGCACGTGCGGTTCGGCACGTGCGGTTCGGCACGTGCGGTTCGGCACGTGCGGTTCGGCACGTGCGGTTCGGCACGTGCGGTTCGGCACGTGCGGTTCGGCACGTGCGGTTCGGCACGTGCGGTTCGGCACGTGCGGTTCGGCACGTGCGGTTCGGCACGTGCGGTTCGGCACGTGCGGTTCGGCACGTGCGGTTTGGCACGTGCGGTTTGGCACGTGCGGTTCGGCACGTGCGGTTCGGCACGTGCGGTTTGGCACGTGCGGTTTGGCACGTGCGGTTTGGCACGTGCGGTTCGGCACGTGCGGTTCGGCACGTGCGGTTCGGCACGTGCGGTTCGGCACGTGCGGTTCGGCACGTGCGGTTCGGCACGTGCGGTTCGGCACGTGCGGTTCGGCACGTGCGGTTCGGCACGTGCGGTTCGGCACGTGCGGTTCGGCACGTGCGGTTCGGCACGTGCGGTTCGGCACGTGCGGTTCGGCACGTGCGGTTCGGCACGTGCGGTTTGGCACGTGCGGTTTGGCACGTGCGGTTTGGCACGTGCGGTTCGGCACGTGCGGTTCGGCACGTGCGGTTCGGCACGTTCGGTTCGGCACGTTCGGTTCGGCACGTGCGGTTTGGCACGTGCGGTTTGGCACGTGCGGTTTGGCACGTGCGGTTTGGCACGTGCGGTTTGGCACGTGCGGTTTGGCACGTGCGGTTCGGCACGTGCGGTTCGGCACGTGCGGTTCGGCACGTGCGGTTCGGCACGTGCGGTTCGGCACGTGCGGTTCGGCACGTGCGGTTCGGCACGTGCGGTTCGGCACGTGCGGTTTGGCACGTGCGGTTTGGCACGTGCGGTTTGGCACGTGCGGTTTGGCACGTGCGGTTTGGCACGTGCGGTTTGGCACGTGCGGTTCGGCACGTGCGGTTCGGCACGTGCGGTTCGGCACGTGCGGTTCGGCACGTGCGGTTCGGCACGTGCGGTTCGGCACGTGCGGTTCGGCACGTGCGGTTCGGCACGTGCGGTTCGGCACGTGCGGTTCGGCACGTGCGGTTCGGCACGTGCGGTTCGGCACGTGCGGTTCGGCACGTGCGGTTCGGCACGTGCGGTTCGGCACGTGCGGTTCGGCACGTGCGGTTTGGCACGTGCGGTTTGGCACGTGCGGTTTGGCACGTGCGGTTTGGCACGTGCGGTTTGGCACGTGCGGTTTGGCACGTGCGGTTTGGCACGTGCGGTTCGGCACGTGCGGTTCGGCACGTGCGGTTCGGCACGTGCGGTTCGGCACGTGCGGTTCGGCACGTGCGGTTTGGCACGTGCGGTTTGGCACGTGCGGTTTGGCACGTGCGGTTCGGCACGTGCGGTTCGGCACGTGCGGTTTCGGCACGTGCGGTTTGGCACGTGCGGTTTGGCACGTGCGGTTGGCACGTGCGGTTCGGCACGTGCGGTTCGGCACGTGCGGTTCGGCACGTGCGGTTCGGCACGTGCGGTTCGGCACGTGCGGTTCGGCACGTGCGGTTCGGCACGTGCGGTTCGGCACGTGCGGTTTGGCACGTGCGGTTTGGCACGTGCGGTTCGGCACGTGCGGTTCGGCACGTGCGGTTCGGCACGTGCGGTTTGGCACGTGCGGTTTGGCACGTGCGGTTTGGCACGTGCGGTTCGGCACGTGCGGTTCGGCACGTGCGGTTCGGCACGTGCGGTTCGGCACGTGCGGTTCGGCACGTGCGGTTCGGCACGTGCGGTTCGGCACGTGCGGTTTGGCACGTGCGGTTTGGCACGTGCGGTTTGGCACGTGCGGTTTGGCACGTGCGGTTTGGCACGTGCGGTTTGGCACGTGCGGTTTGGCACGTGCGGTTCGGCACGTGCGGTTCGGCACGTGCGGTTCGGCACGTGCGGTTCGGCACGTGCGGTTCGGCACGTGCGGTTCGGCACGTGCGGTTCGGCACGTGCGGTTCGGCACGTGCGGTTCGGCACGTGCGGTTCGGCACGTGCGGTTCGGCACGTGCGGTTCGGCACGTGCGGTTTGGCACGTGCGGTTTGGCACGTGCGGTTTGGCACGTGCGGTTTGGCACGTGCGGTTTGGCACGTGCGGTTTGGCACGTGCGGTTCGGCACGTGCGGTTCGGCACGTGCGGTTCGGCACGTGCGGTTCGGCACGTGCGGTTCGGCACGTGCGGTTCGGCACGTGCGGTTCGGCACGTGCGGTTCGGCACGTGCGGTTCGGCACGTGCGGTTCGGCACGTGCGGTTCGGCACGTGCGGTTCGGCACGTGCGGTTTGGCACGTGCGGTTTGGCACGTGCGGTTTGGCACGTGCGGTTCGGCACGTGCGGTTCGGCACGTGCGGTTCGGCACGTGCGGTTCGGCACGTGCGGTTCGGCACGTGCGGTTCGGCACGTGCGGTTCGGCACGTGCGGTTTGGCACGTGCGGTTTGGCACGTGCGGTTCGGCACGTGCGGTTCGGCACGTGCGGTTCGGCACGTGCGGTTCGGCACGTGCGGTCCGGCACGTGCGGTTCGGCACGTGCGGTTCGGTTCGGCACGTGCGGTTCGGCACGTGCGGTTCGGCACGTGCGGTTCGGCACGTGCGGTTCGGCACGTGCGGTTCGGCACGTGCGGTTCGGCACGTGCGGTTTGGCACGTGCGGTTTGGCACGTGCGGTTTGGCACGTGCGGTTTGGCACGTGCGGTTCGGCACGTGCGGTTCGGCACGTGCGGTTCGGCACGTGCGGTTCGGCACGTGCGGTTCGGCACGTGCGGTTCGGCACGTGCGGTTCGGCACGTGCGGTTCGGCACGTGCGGTTCGGCACGTGCGGTTCGGCACGTGCGGTTCGGCACGTGCGGTTCGGCACGTGCGGTTCGGCACGTGCGGTTCGGCACGTGCGGTTCGGCACGTGCGGTTTGGCACGTGCGGTTCGGCACGTGCGGTTCGGCACGTGCGGTTCGGCACGTGCGGTTCGGCACGTGCGGTTCGGCACGTGCGGTTCGGCACGTGCGGTTCGGCACGTGCGGTTCGGCACGTGCGGTTCGGCACGTGCGGTTCGGCACGTGCGGTTCGGCACGTGCGGTTCGGCACGTGCGGTTCGGCACGTGCGGTTCGGCACGTGCGGTTCGGCACGTGCGGTTCGGCACGTGCGGTTCGGCACGTGCGGTTCGGCACGTGCGGTTCGGCACGTGCGGTTCGGCACGTGCGGTTCGGCACGTGCGGTTCGGCACGTGCGGTTCGGCACGTGCGGTTCGGCACGTGCGGTTCGGCACGTGCGGTTCGGCACGTGCGGTTCGGCACGTGCGGTTCGGCACGTGCGGTTCGGCACGTGCGGTTCGGCACGTGCGGTTCGGCACGTGCGGTTCGGCACGTGCGGTTTCGGCACGTGCGGTTTGGCACGTGCGGTTTGGCACGTGCGGTTTGGCACGTGCGGTTTGGCACGTGCGGTTCGGCACGTGCGGTTCGGCACGTGCGGTTCGGCACGTGCGGTTCGGCACGTGCGGTTCGGCACGTGCGGTTCGGCACGTGCGGTTCGGCACGTGCGGTTCGGCACGTGCGGTTCGGCACGTGCGGTTCGGCACGTGCGGTTCGGCACGTGCGGTTCGGCACGTGCGGTTCGGCACGTGCGGTTCGGCACGTGCGGTTCGGCACGTGCGGTTCGGCACGTGCGGTTCGGCACGTGCGGTTCGGCACGTGCGGTTCGGCACGTGCGGTTCGGCACGTGCGGTTCGGCACGTGCGGTTCGGCACGTGCGGTTCGGCACGTGCGGTTTGGCACGTGCGGTTTGGCACGTGCGGTTCGGCACGTGCGGTTCGGCACGTGCGGTTCGGCACGTGCGGTTCGGCACGTGCGGTTCGGCACGTGCGGTTCGGCACGTGCGGTTCGGCACGTGCGGTTCGGCACGTGCGGTTCGGCACGTGCGGTTCGGCACGTGCGGTTCGGCACGTGCGGTTCGGCACGTGCGGTTCGGCACGTGCGGTTCGGCACGTGCGGTTCGGCACGTGCGGTTCGGCACGTGCGGTTTCGGCACGTGCGGTTTGGCACGTGCGGTTTGGCACGTGCGGTTTGGCACGTGCGGTTTGGCACGTGCGGTTTGGCACGTGCGGTTTGGCACGTGCGGTTTGGCACGTGCGGTTGGCACGTGCGGTTCGGCACGTGCGGTTCGGCACGTGCGGTTCGGCACGTGCGGTTCGGCACGTGCGGTTCGGCACGTGCGGTTCGGCACGTGCGGTTCGGCACGTGCGGTTTCGGCACGTGCGGTTTCGGCACGTGCGGTTCGGCACGTGCGGTTCGGCACGTGCGGTTCGGCACGTGCGGTTCGGCACGTGCGGTTCGGCACGTGCGGTTCGGCACGTGCGGTTCGGCACGTGCGGTTCGGCACGTGCGGTTCGGCACGTGCGGTTCGGCACGTGCGGTTCGGCACGTGCGGTTTGGCACGTGCGGTTTGGCACGTGCGGTTCGGCACGTGCGGTTCGGCACGTGCGGTTCGGCACGTGCGGTTCGGCACGTGCGGTTCGGCACGTGCGGTTCGGCACGTGCGGTTCGGCACGTGCGGTTCGGCACGTGCGGTTCGGCACGTGCGGTTCGGCACGTGCGGTTCGGCACGTGCGGTTCGGCACGTGCGGTTCGGCACGTGCGGTTTGGCACGTGCGGTTTGGCACGTGCGGTTCGGCACGTGCGGTTCGGCACGTGCGGTTCGGCACGTGCGGTTCGGCACGTGCGGTTCGGCACGTGCGGTTCGGCACGTGCGGTTCGGCACGTGCGGTTCGGCACGTGCGGTTCGGCACGTGCGGTTCGGCACGTGCGGTTCGGCACGTGCGGTTCGGCACGTGCGGTTCGGCACGTGCGGTTCGGCACGTGCGGTTCGGCACGTGCGGTTCGGCACGTGCGGTTCGGCACGTGCGGTTCGGCACGTGCGGTTCGGCACGTGCGGTTCGGCACGTGCGGTTCGGCACGTGCGGTTCGGCACGTACGGTTCGGCACGTGCGGTTCGGCACGTGCGGTTCGGCACGTGCGGTTCGGCACGTGCGGTTCGGCACGTGCGGTTCGGCACGTGCGGTTCGGCACGTGCGGTTCGGCACGTGCGGTTCGGCACGTGCGGTTCGGCACGTGCGGTTCGGCACGTGCGGTTTCGGCACGTGCGGTTCGGCACGTGCGGTTCGGCACGTGCGGTTCGGCACGTGCGGTTCGGCACGTGCGGTTCGGCACGTGCGGTTCGGCACGTGCGGTTTCGGCACGTGCGGTTCGGCACGTGCGGTTCGGCACGTGCGGTTCGGCAAGTGCGGTTCGGCACGTGCGGTTCGGCACGTGCGGTTCGGCACGTGCGGTTCGGCACGTGCGGTTCGGCACGTGCGGTTCGGCACGTGCGGTTCGGCACGTGCGGTTCGGCACGTGCGGTTCGGCACGTGCGGTTCGGCACGTGCGGTTCGGCACGTGCGGTTCGGCACGTGCGGTTCGGCACGTGCGGTTCGGCACGTGCGGTTCGGCACGTGCGGTTTGGCACGTGCGGTTCGACACGTGCGGTTGGCACGTGCGTTGCACGTGCGGTTTGGCACGTGCGGTTTGGCACGTGCGGTTCGGCACGTGCGGTTCGGCACGTGCGGTTCGGCACGTGCGGTTCGGCACGTGCGGTTCGGCACGTGCGGTTCGGCACGTGCGGTTCGGCACGTGCGGTTCGGCACGTGCGGTTCGGCACGTGCGGTTCGGCACGTGCGGTTCGGCACGTGCGGTTCGGCACGTGCGGTTCGGCACGTGCGGTTCGGCACGTGCGGTTCGGCACGTGCGGTTCGGCACGTGCGGTTCGGCACGTGCGGTTCGGCACGTGCGGTTCGGCACGTGCGGTTCGGCACGTGCGGTTCGGCACGTGCGGTTCGGCACGTGCGGTTCGGCACGTGCGGTTCGGCACGTGCGGTTCGGCACGTGCGGTTCGGCACGTGCGGTTCGGCACGTGCGGTTCGGCACGTGCGGTTCGGCACGTGCGGTTCGGCACGTGCGGTTCGGCACGTGCGGTTCGGCACGTGCGGTTCGGCACGTGCGGTTCGGCACGTGCGGTTCGGCACGTGCGGTTTGGCACGTGCGGTTTGGCACGTGCGGTTTGGCACGTGCGGTTGGGCACGTGCGGTTGGGCACGTGCGGTTCGGCACGTGCGGTTCGGCACGTGCGGTTCGGCACGTGCGGTTCGGCACGTGCGGTTCGGCACGTGCGGTTCGGCACGTGCGGTTCGGCACGTGCGGTTCGGCACGTCCGGTTCGGCACGTCCGGTTCGGCACGTGCGGTTCGGCACGTGCGGTTTGGCACGTGCGGTTTGGCACGTGCGGTTCGGCACGTGCGGTTCGGCACGTGCGGTTCGGCACGTGCGGTTCGGCACGTGCGGTTCGGCACGTGCGGTTCGGCACGTGCGGTTTGGCACGTGCGGTTGGGCACGTGCGGTTGGGCACGTGCGGTTCGGCACGTGCGGTTCGGCACGTGCGGTTCGGCACGTGCGGTTCGGCACGTGCGGTTCGGCACGTGCGGTTTGGCACGTGCGGTTTGGCACGTGCGGTTCGGCACGTGCGGTTCGGCACGTGCGGTTCGGCACGTGCGGTTCGGCACGTGCGGTTCGGCACGTGCGGTTTGGCACGTGCGGTTTGGCACGTGCGGTTTGGCACGTGCGGTTTGGCACGTGCGGTTTGGCACGTGCGGTTTGGCACGTGCGGTTTGGCACGTGCGGTTTGGCACGTGCGGTTTGGCACGTGCACGTGCGGTTCGGCACGTGCGGTTCGGCACGTGCGGTTCGGCACGTGCGGTTTGGCACGTGCGGTTTGGCACGTGCGGTTTGGCACGTGCGGTTTGGCACGTGCGGTTCGGCACGTGCGGTTCGGCACGTGCGGTTCGGCACGTGCGGTTCGGCACGTGCGGTTCGGCACGTGCGGTTCGGCACGTGCGGTTCGGCACGTGCGGTTCGGCACGTGCGGTTCGGCACGTGCGGTTCGGCACGTGCGGTTCGGCACGTGCGGTTCGGCACGTGCGGTTTGGCACGTGCGGTTTGGCACGTGCGGTTTGGCACGTGCGGTTCGGCACGTGCGGTTCGGCACGTGCGGTTCGGCACGTGCGGTTTGGCACGTGCGGTTTGGCACGTGCGGTTTGGCACGTGCGGTTCGGCACGTGCGGTTCGGCACGTGCGGTTTGGCACGTGCGGTTTGGCACGTGCGGTTTGGCACGTGCGGTTTGGCACGTGCGGTTTGGCACGTGCGGTTTGGCACGTGCGGTTCGGCACGTGCGGTTCGGCACGTGCGGTTTGGCACGTGCGGTTTGGCACGTGCGGTTTGGCACGTGCGGTTTGGCACGTGCGGTTTGGCACGTGCGGTTTGGCACGTGCGGTTTGGCACGTGCGGTTTGGCACGTGCGGTTCGGCACGTGCGGTTCGGCACGTGCGGTTTGGCACGTGCGGTTTGGCACGTGCGGTTTGGCAACGTGCGGTTTGGCACGTGCGGTTTGGCACGTGCGGTTTGGCACGTGCGGTTTGGCACGTGCGGTTTGGGACGTGCGGTTTGGGCACGTGCGGTTTGGCACGTGCGGTTTGGCACGTGCGGTTTGGCACGTGCGGTTTGGCACGTGCGGTTTGGCACGTGCGGTTTGGCACGTGCGGTTTGGCACGTGCTGTTTGGCACGTGCGGTTTGGCACGTGCGGTTTGGCACGTGCGGTTTGGCACGTGCGGTTTGGCACGTGCTGTTTGGCACGTGCGGTTTGGGCACGTGCGGTTTGGCACGTGCGGTTTGGCACGTGCGGTTTGGCACGTGCGGTTTGGGCACGTGCGGTTTGGCACGTGCGGTTTGGCACGTGCTGTTTGGCACGTGCTGTTTGGCACGTGCTGTTTGGCACGTGCTGCATGCGAGCTGACAAGCGAGGCAGCGGCAGTCACATCTGGCCCCCTCTCTCCCCCCCACTGTCCGACTCTTCCCTCCATTCCAGAGTCCCCTCTCTCCTGTCTTCTTTCACCCTACCCCGTTCTCCTTCCCCCCTCTCACGTTCTCCTTTCCCGCTCCCCCGTTTTGCTTTCCCCCTCCGCCGTTCTCCCTATCCCACACCGCCTCGCCAGCCCTCCAGAGCACGGACCCCTACAGCACAGCGCCCTGTGAGGGAGGCACATGCGCGGGGGACAAGAGAGACAGCAGCGAGTACACATGCGCGGGGGACAAGAGAGACAGCAGCGAGTACACGTGCGTGGGGGACAAGAGAGACAGCAGCGAGTACACGTGCGTGGGGGACAAGAAGAGTCAGGGCATACCCCTTCCCCCTTCCCTTCTCTCCACCCATACTGCCAGCCCCCCAGACCACAGACCCCTGCAGCACGGCGCCATGTGGGGGGGGCACGTGTGAGGCGGACCCGAGTGGCAACGGCAAGTACACGTGTCAGTGCTCGGACCTGCTGGTGCCAGCTGTCAACCGCGACGGCACTCCCACCTGCACCATCAGTGAGTTGTGGGAGGAGTGACTTGATCCGTTGGGCTCTTGGGGTGCCTTGGCTCTTGGAATGAGATGAAAATGAGATGAAAATGAGATGAAAATGAGATGATAGGAGCCTCTTGATTGTGCCAGCTGTCAACTGCAACAGCGCACCCACGTGCACGATAATTGAGCAGGACTGTTGTTTTACTCCCACACGCACCAGCATTAAGGTAGGATGCGATGGGTGGTTCTACTTGTTGCTATGCATTGGTCTTTAGGATGTGCTGTGGGGCGGTGGGACGGTGGTGTGGGCGGTGGGGGCAACGCATCAACAGCGACACTCAGCCCCAACCCCCCACCCCCTTCTCATATCCTCACTTCTTCTTCTCTCATTCCCCTTCTCCTCTTCACCTTCCTTTCAAGTCCACGTCTGCAGCGTGCTGCCCAACAGCCTGTGCGCCGTGGGGCAGGCAGTGCATCAACAGCACAAACCAGCGCCTACCCAACAGCCTGTGCGCCGTGGGGCAGGGCATCAACATCGGCGACGGCGGCTACTTGTGCCTCTGCCCGCCCAACTACAAGCCCGTGAGGCAGGGCAACAATAGCAGAATCCAGCGCCTACCTTGTCTCATATCCCCCCATCTCCGTCACTGCTTCCCGTCCCCTCCCCTCCGCTTCAGACGACGTCTGCAGCATCCCAACAACCCATGCGCTGTGGGGCAGTGCGTCAACAGCAACAATCAGCCACCTTCCGCCTTCCCATTGCCCCACGCCTCTCTCATTCTCCTTTTCCCCTTCTCCCTCCCCTCTTCAGTCGACGTTTGCAGCATTCTCCCCACCAACCCGTGTGCCGTGGGGCAGTGCATCAACATCGGCGACGGCGGCTACTCGTGCCTCTGCCCGCCCAACTACAAGCCCAGCACCCTCGCCTCTGGCCAGACCACCTGCGTGCCTGGTGAGGCTGTGCTTGGTGGAGGAGGGAGGGTGCTTGGTGGAGGAGGGAGGGTGCTTGGTGGAGGAGGGAGGGAAGAGTGAGAGTTTGACATCCCACACCATCTTAGACGTCCCTCACTCTGTTTCACATGCCGCACATCCCACATCCCTCACATCCCACATGCATACCGTACATCTTCTCTCACACACCCCATGGCAGACATAGGAACGAGCACAGCAGCAGCAGCAGCAGCAGCGGTGTTTGCATTTTGGTTTTATTTGGAACGGATTTTGAGGCGCCTCAAGAATTCATCCAGTCGAGTGCGTTCACCATGTATGACATTGCACGTCCCACCCACACGTGGTCTATTTGAAACGAATATGTCCATTTGAGTGCGTTCACCATGTATGGCATCCCACATGCCGCACATCTCTTCTCACACACCCCATGGCAGAGATGTCTGGGAGCACGGCAGCAGCGGTGCAGGGCACGTACACAGTGCAGGGCGGGGAGACGTGTGGCGCCATCTACGGCTTCATCGGCCTCACCCAGGAGCAGTTCCTCCTGCAGAACCAGGTGCGAGGAGGGATGAGAACGGTTCCTACAGCAGAACGAGGTGAGATTGATGAGAGTGGCACGAGTGATAGGGAACGTTTCCTCGCCAGGATGTCAGCCCTTCACTGTGTGCAATCTCACAGGGATGCAGACACGTCCCCTTCCTTTTGAGTCGACTCAAAAGCAGCCCCTCGCCAGGATGTCAGCCCCGCACTGTGAACAGACTTTGAATATTCTCGAAGATGGCTCACTGCGGGCAATTTCACAGGGATGCAGACACGTCCCCTCACAACCGGACAGGTGCTCTGCTCGGCCTCTCAACTTGGTCCATCTCAACTCTCCCCTCCTCTCCCAACCATCCACTGTTGAGTGGACTGCGACAATCTCAAGGCGGGTCAGCAGCTCAATAGCTCATCTCCATCCCTTCTATCCATCCATCCCTGCGCACCTTCCCTATCCCTTTCCCCGCTCTATTCTCCCTTACCCCACCGTAACCCCCTCCATCCACCGTTGAGTGGACTGTGTCAATCTCAAGGCGCGTCAGGTGCTCAACATCTCCGTCCCCTCCCTCTTTACTCAGTTTCCTATCCCTTCTCCCCTTCATTCATCCCCCTTCCCCTCCCCCCTGCCCCTATCCCATCCCCCAGGGAGTGGACTGTGACAATCTCAAGGCGGGGGCGGTGCTCAACATCTCCATCCCCTCCTCGGCTCAAGTGTGCCGCGTTCACTACACTGTCACCCAGGTGCGTTACATGTCACCCAGGTGCGTTACATGTCACCCAGGCGCGTTACATGTCACCCAGGTGCGTTACATGTCGGCCAGGTGCATTACATGTCACCCAGATACACCGTCACTCTCCGCCTTCTCACCCAAAATTTCCCCCTTCTCACCCCTTTCTCTCTCTCATTTATCTCCCCCCTCCTCTACCTCCCTTCGTGTCCCCTCTCCTCATCCCCCCAGGCGGATGCCGCAGCAAGGAGCTGTGATCCCATCGGTCCCCCCTTCCTCGCTCCTCACTCCCCTTCCCCTGTTCGTCCCCGCTCCCCCCAGGCGGATGCCGCAGCAAGGAGCTGTGATCCCATCAACACCCGCTTTGGCATCGACGTCACGACCATCAACCCCAGCCTTGACTGCTCAAGCCTCACACCCAACCAGCAGGTGCGGCGAATCAAGAGGTAGGGAACTGGGGAAGTGGGCCTATTGGTGCAGCAGGTAGGGGAGCAGGGGGGTAGGATAGTCAGTATAGACTTTAATCACTTTGGCATTGACGGTGCGACCATCAACCCCAGCCATGACCGCTCAGCCATGACAGCTCAGCCATGACCGCTCAGCCATGACCGCTCAGCCATGACCGCTCAGCCTTGACTGCTCAGCCATGACCGCTCAGCCTTGACTGCTCAGCCATGACCGCTCAGCCATGACCGCTCAGCCTTGACTGCTCAGCCTTGACTGCTCGACCTTGACTGCTCAGCTAGCAAGCCAGTGATTCGCCCACCGGTTCCTTTCTCCCCTCTTGCCTCTCCAACCCTCTCCTCTTCTATTCTGCTCCACTCCTCCTCTCTTCTGCTCCTCTCCTCTCCTTCTACTCCTCCCCTCCTCCTGTCTCCCTCTCCCCCTCCTGCAGATCTGCATCCAGGTGGGGGACGCAGTGGCAGGAGCAGCGGACTACAACCTCTGCACGGACTATACAGCCAATCAGCCAGTGGGTCACGAGCTCCCTTTCCCTCTCTCTCTCTCTCTCTCCACCCAACCCTGCAGATCTGCATTCAGGTGGGGGATGCAGTGTGAGGAGCAGCGGGCTACAACCTGTGCACCAACTACCTGCCGGTGCCGCACCACCTCCCGTGCTCCCTTCCGTTTGAGGTTGATTTTGAGAATTCTCAAAATCAACGTCAGGAGCAGCAGACTACAACCTCTGCACCAACTACCTGCCGGTGCCGCACCACCTCCCGTGCTCCCTTCCTCTCTCTCTCCCCCCTCCCACAGATCTGCATTCAAGTAGGAGACGCGGTGGCAGGAGCAGCGGATTACAACCTGTGCACGGACTATGTGACAGCCAATCAGTGGCAGACCTGTGCCAATGCTGTTGAGTGGTACGGCATGACGTGGTTCGACCTCTACCGCCTCAACCCCGGCATCAACTGCGACTCTCTCAGCGCGCTCACAGGCTCTGAGGTACTAACCGCATGGGAGAGTGTGGCCCTGGGGATGGGGCGTTAGGGGGTGGCTTGGGGGAATGTGATCAACTGGTGCGCCCTCTCCTAGCTCCACCTCTACGCCTCAACCCCGGCATCAACTGCGACTCCCTCAGCGCGCTCACCGGCTCCGAGGTAACTAAGAGGGTGTGGCGCCATGGTGGGTTGGTGCTAGGGCGTGTGCCCCTGGCAGTGTGAATAGAAAGCATGTGACCCTAAGGGTGCGTTGGCTTTTGAGGCGCCTCAAAAGTTGTCATGGTGGGTTGGTGCTAGGGCGTGTGCCCCTGGCAGTGTGAATAGAAAGGATGTGACCCTAAGGGTGCGTTGGCTTTTGAGGCGCCTCAGAAGTTGTCATGTGTGGGTTGGTGCTAGGGCGTGTGCATCTGACAGTGTGAATAGTCAGGATGTGACCCTAAGGGTGTGTCGGGCCTCAACCCCGGCATCAACTGCGACACACTCAGCGCACTCACAGGCTCCGAGGTACCCACAGGATGGCCCCAGGGGGGTGTGGCTCTGGGGGAGTGGCGCTAGGGGGGTGTGGCTCTGGGGGAATGGCGCTAGGGGGGTGTGGCTCTGGGGGAGTGGCGCTAGGGGGGTGTGGCTCTGGGGGAGTGGCGCTAAAGGGGTGTGGCTCTGGGGGAGTGGCGCTAGGGAGCACGCTAGGGAGCACGCTAGGGTGGGGGCGATCATTAAGTGCAACTCCCTAACCGCGCTCACCGGCTCCGAGGTACCCACAGGATGGCCCCATGTGGGTTGGCGCCAGCTAGTAGGGGCTCACAGCTGTTCCATTATGCGCTCACAGCTGTTCCATTATGCGCTCACAGCTGTTCCCTTATGCGCTCACAGCTGTTCCATTATGCGCTCACAGCTGTTCCATTATGCGCTCACAGCTCAGCTATTCAGGCGCTCTGCGGGGTGACTTTGAATGGGCTCACAGGCTCCGAGGTACCAACAGGATGGGCCCATGCGGGTTGGCGCCAGCTGGAGGAGCCTCATTGGCTCTGACGTTTCTACAGGGTGGTGCTAGCTGGTGTGGCTTCAGAAGGGGGTGGTCTTTGTGGGGTGACCTTATGGGGGATGGTACCAGTGGAAGTGTTGCTAGGGCCTATGCCACATGCGAAACTTGCCTTTTAAGGCACACAACTCGAGGACTTTCCTCAATGATTGCTCTAATCTAGCACTCGTCCTCACTCCTCCTCCCCACCTCTCCCCATTTCCCCCCTCCTCAACCGCCCAGATCTGCATCAAAGGCACGTCGTTGGGAGCGGTGGCATGCGGTAAGGCGCGGTCGAAGACGGTGGCGAACCGGCGGTACACGGTGGGGGCGGGGGACAGCTGTGCGTCGCTGGTGGTGGTGCAGTTCCAGCGCCAGCCGCCGCTTGTGGGCCAGCTCAACCGCGGCTGGATGTGCCGCTCCCAGAGCCTCTTCGCCGGCATGCCCCTCTGCATCCCTTCCTAGAAATGATGGTGTGGCATGGCATGCCGCTCTTTATCCCCTCCTGGGGACGTTTCAAAAAGTCACATGAATGTGTCACTTTGAAGCAGGGCTGATTTTTATCAGACTATTTTAGTCTGATTGTCTGAAATCTCAGACTCTTTTTTTCGCCTTTCCTGAAATTTCAGTATTCCTGTACCGTATTTTGAACTCTGAAGGCCTCAGACCTGTTAGTTTTTCAACTCTGAAAATTTCAGAGTACTTCGTTGTGCGATACTGAGACTCGAGACTACAGGGAGTATGGCCCCTGAAATTGCCGAATTTCAGTCCTCCCCCCTCCCCCTCTCTCGAATTACATTCAATTCCCCCCCTGCCCCCCTCCCCCCTCCCTCTTCCCCCGCCCCCTCTTACTCCTGCTTCTCGCCAACTCCGCAACGTTTTCCCTAGGCCAAACTCGCTCGCTATTAACCAACACAGATGCGGTTTTACAAACTTAAAACTTTTCAGACTAATGATTTTTTCAAACCTGACATTTCAGAGTATTTATAGCTTGGGAAATGACCCTCAGACTAAACGATTTTTTTTTTCTCCCCTGCCTCAGAGTTTTTTTTTTTTTAACGTCAGCCCTGCTTTGAAGCCTCCTTGATGGTGCGCCCTTCTACATTCCTTCTTAGAACGATCGCCACAGTACGGCGTCTTACTCTCTGAGCGAGGCACCTATAATCCCCTCATATATGAGTAAGCAAGCAATGTCTGTATAGTAATTGCAAAGTAACATGGGCATGTCTATTGTATGCATATATTTGTGTGTGTATGCTACTTTATTATTCATATTAGTGTAACCCTCTCGGATTCCTCTGCAGCCCCAAAATGAGTGGGTGGCTGTGATGCGGAACCACCGGCAAGTGCGGGGGTCGGTTTAATGCTCACACACATCACAGGTGCTCCACCCAGGCCTCTGGTTAACAGGGTGATTCACCCTTATGACCCTTACCGTATTACCCCGGATATAAGCGCACCTGCGCTTATAATAAAACAGTGTTTTTTTGGGGGGTGCGCTTATAATTGAGTAAAAATTATAAGCGCATGCGCTTATGATATAACAAATACAAATATATATTTCAATGCACCAAATTGTACATCTCATCCTTCAGATTTCAATCGAATCGAAATTGTAGAAAGTCACATGTCAAAATCGCGCGCGGGCGATTCTTCGCGAGCGCCCAGAGGCAAAATATAGTGTAACACCTCACTTTGAGGGCGTGCCAGCTCGTGCTGACTGGACGCGCAGGATGTGAGAGGTCTTCGAAAGTCAATGTAAGCGAAAATGGGTTGTGGCCTCGCTGCAAAACTGAGATTCGTTACCGTTTTAATGAAGAATTATAAATAAAATTACACATGCGCTTATAATATATCAGGGTTTTATAAGGGGTGCGCTTATAATTGAGGATCGGCCATAAGCGCATTGCTCCAGATACAAGCGCATGCGCTTTTAATAGGCCTGCGCTTATATCCGGGGCCATACGGTACTATAAGGCTGGGTTTGACGATGCACCAGGGGTTTTTTTATCAGTGTAATTTACTCTGTTTCTCTGAAAATCAGAGTGGTTTTTGGGGTGTCACTCTGTACCTCCTGGGTAATTTTTTTGAGAGTTACTTGTTCTCTGATCAGTCAGGGTTTTTGTCTAAGTTCACTCTGGAGCGCCAGTGTTACTTTCCCGGATAGTGAGATTACTCTGTACGGGGGATACATGTACCCCCGAATCCCCACGTTCCCCCTTATCCCCTCGTTGCCGGTTTTGACCGGAGCGCAGGGGATATCAGTCTTGGTTCGCTCGTGTGTTGGCACTACCTGAGGTTCTGATTGGCCGGAATGGCATATTTCGTGCCAGCGCACGCATCTGGCCACCCACCAGATACATCGCTGGCTTTGCGTACCCCATCAGCAATGAACAACTCCTACTTTCGGGCATGACACGGCAGCTTCCTTTGGTGCGATGGTTTCGTGCGCGGCGCGCACATTTACACATGTTGCTCGGCTGACAGACGGGGTCACCACCAAACCCCATCCTGTCCTCCCATTATGTTTCTTCCCACTGCACTGCTCTTCAACGTTTCAGTATAGCGAGTGTGTAGTGGGCTTCTCCAGCCACAGCCCCTCCTCCTGCACCTTTTTTGTGCCGTCAATACCATGGATACTAGCGACGCCGAGGGAGACGCGGCTGATGCCGACGACAGGCCGACATGTAGCACACCCCCTGCGACTGGGCTTCAGTTCCTCCGCTCTGTGCGTGAAGATTACGTTCGCGATGAAGAGGCGCTGGGCGATGGCGGTACCGAATGGATGCGACGTCCACGCAAGGAATCTGGCGACATGGAAGATGCGAACGACGATTGGTGTCCATCTCCGCGCCCGATGAATGACGCTGCTGAGTCAGACGGTGTTGAGGAGTGGATCGCCTCGCCGCAAAACGAGGTTGCTGCAGATCCGACTGCAACGGTTGCACTGGAGGTTGTCGATGCGGCCACTACTGAGTCGACTGGTTCAGTCGCTGTGAAGAAGCGACGATTAACACAGCAGGTTTTGCAATGGGGAACACCGCCGCCGAAGCCTGTCGCTCCACCTCCCCGTCCTGCCCCACCCCCCATTCGTCCCCTTTCAGACGAGGAGAAGAAGGAGAAGGCCTACCTGAAGGCGCAGAAGAGCTACACGTCTGATTGGCTACCGAAGTTTGACTGGCTGATTCTGGACAGGACCCCTAAGGGTGACCCGTGTCTGCGCTGCAGTGTCTGCACGGAGCACGGGAAGGACAACGCGCGTTACGATCGCAATGGCGCTGGCGGTCGTGATCTGCAGATCGGGTCGATGCGGTGGCACGAGAACAGCGCGAAGCACGAGGACGCGATGAACAAGCAGGCGAACCTTCTGCACAAGATCGCCGACCAGAAGAAGATTGAAGACTTCGCGAAGGGAGATCCAGACGGCTGTCGTGTCGCGAAACTCATGCGAGCCATGCGATTTGTGTGCCGTACCGATACACCCATCCACATGTACCCACAGATCGTGCAGCTTCTCGCAGAGGAGGGGGTCGCCAACATACCGCGACAGAGCTATGGAGTGTACATCACACAGTGAGTTGTTGTTGTCTCTGTTGTTCTTGAAGCAACCGTTTATGTTTATGTATGCTAATGCGTTGTGCTATGTGTCTGCGCAGGTACGGTTTCTCCGAGATGGCCAGGGCTCTCACCGTGTATCTGACCAGAGAATAATTGCGCCACCTCCACGCCTCGCCCTTCATCGGCATCATGTGCGACGAGAGTACCGATCGAGCCCGTGGCAAACACATAATTGTGTTTGTCACGTTCCTCAAGAACAGCGTGGTTGTAACCGAGTTCCTCGCGTTACTTACCGTCCAGCAGTGTGATGCGGCATCGCTCATGAACGCACTGCTCCAGCATCTCGAGACGGTGGGCATCGACTTGCAGAAGATTTCAGGAATGTCCACGGACGGCGCGGCAGTGATGATCGGGGGCACGTCCGGCCTCGTCACACGACTGCGAGTCCACGTTCCCCACCTTGTCGGCTGCCACTGCATTGCGCATCGGTACGTTTGTCTTGCCTGCGAAATAGAGTGTCTGGTTTAACGTTATTTTGTGTTTCCAACTTATTCATGTAACAATCTTATTCATTGTTTCCAACTTTTGCTTGCAGCGAAGCACTTGCTGTGAAGGAGACTGCCGGTGACGAGCAGTTCAAAGATTTTGGGATGGTAGACAAGGCCATCCGTGCAGTTGGCGAGATCGTGGGGAGATCCACGCCGTGGTACGAGAGGTTCAAAGAGCTCCAACTCGTGATCCACAGCACCAACCTCGAGCACCAGGGACTGTTCGACGTGCGCTGGCTCTCCCGTGCCGATGCTGTCAACCGTCTTGTCAAGATTTTGGGGTTGGCAATCGTGCTGTTCCTGGAGTACAATCACAAGATCGCCGCGGTTGTGAAGACCCTGAAATTTCATTTCTGTCTGTACTTCCTGGCAGACATTTTGGGGGAGTTGAACTCCCTGAATCGTTTCTTCCAACGACGCAAGGTAAATGGGGCCTAAAAGGCTTGTTGATACATACGTTTAACCGTCTTCATTATTCTTTTTAACGCAGAGACTAACAAAAAAAAATTTAGCCCCTGTCGGTCCGGCAGGTGGAGGTGACGCAAGTCACAGAGGAGGTCGACCGTGTGGTCTCCCTCATCGAGCACCACTACATCGACTACGAGGGTGGTTTCGGGGCGGGTCTGAGCACCCACTTGTCTCCATTCATGGCACGTGTCAAGAAAGGGGACAAGAAGGTGAAGGTGGACGGTGTGGACGCTAGCGGCAGACCCGTCAGGCACACCTTCGAGCTCAGCGAGTTGCCGGACAAAAAGCACAAGTTCGGCGGGTCCCTGGCAGATTGCGTGAAGATGGGCAAGGCGTTCGCCCATGAGGTCGTGTACAACCTGAAGCACCGCATGCGAGATCTTCGTCGAATGGGCGGCATGAAGCTGTTCAGGGTGGACAAGTGGCCATCGAATCCGGACACGCGTGCGAGACGATGTGCCACATGGCTCCGTGAGAACTCACAACTCTTCAGCCACCAGCTGCCAGGTATTTGGAAATCTAATTTCGTTCGTGTTTGTTTGCTTTTCTTCTAAAAATGCCTTATGTAAATGTCTACCGAAAGTTCCCGTACAAAGAAATCCCTGTGCTGTTCGTACTGTGTTGGCAGGATTCGACCTGCGGGCAGCCGAACTAGAACTGAAAACTTTCTGCCACATCATGAGGACGCACCACGAGGACGAGGACTTCTACCAGGCGCTGACGAACATGCTGAGGTCACGCGATTGGCCGCGAACTTACCCCAACATCATGACCCTCTGGCAGGCGTTGGCCGTCCTGCCACTCAGCACCGTCGAATGCGAGCGTGGATTTTCACGCCAGAACATCATCAAGAGCTGGCAGCGCACGACTCTCAACGACACGCGGCTCACTGAACTCATGAGCATCCACATGCTCGACTACAACGTGGAGTGGCCAGATGTTGTGGACGTCTGGCGCAAGCACAAGAAGAGGCAGCCGACAAAATCCCCTGCACCCTTCCAACCAGCGGCTGACAAGAACAAGCCTGAGGCCAGTGCGGACGACGAGGAGGAGGCTGACGTGGCAGAGGATGAGTGAGCCGTAGTAGTAGGATAGGATAGGACATTGTGTACAACGTGTCTAGGAATTATATTTGTTACATTTCTAACTATGCAACAGCACAAGAACCAACGCGTACACACACAACAGGGTTAACGATAAAAATTACTCTGAGGTGCCAGGGTTTTTAAACTGACAGCCTGTGTTACACTGACATTTAAGAGGAAGGCTCGCCGAACACTCTGAATTTCAGAGTACAGCCAAAAACGCCTCTGGAAACCAGTGTACTCTCAAACGAAAAAAAACCCCTGCGATGCACCCTTTTTTATCAGAGTGGTCAACATTTTAACCCTTACAAGAAAAAGTGCTTGGTTATACCACACTGATATTTCAGAGTTATGTGGTGTAGTAACACTGATGATATTGAGTTAGATCTAACTAAGTGTGGTAAGATTACTCACGAAAAATACTTCCTCATTTAGATTTGCCTACTTCAAGTATCGAAATCGAGTCAGACGCGTAAATTCAACTCACTACAACACCAACAACTTACCCATTTAGGAATGTTCAGCTACTTGTAGATAAAACATACGGTATTATGTTTGCACCCTTACTAGAAAGAGTAGTTTTTGTGAGAACCCTTTCAGAAAAAGTGCAAGCGGGGTGTTGGCCTTACGTGAAAGAGTAGCTCAAAACCTAACCAGAGGCCTGGCTCCACCCGAGCCGCTCTCCATTTCAGGTGGTGCAATTTCTTGATGAAGCGGCGCGATTGGCAGTTCTACACAGCTGAAATAATGTGATCGGCAGTTTTACGTAGATCAATCCATCAATTATCCCTTTCGACACATTTCAAATATCAGAACCTGTCATTGTTAAATGCCATAATAAATTAAGGTTTGACTGCCAAAAGGTGAGTTGTGTTTGGTAGATGTATGGTAAGTGGAATGATATTGTCGTTTGAAGCTGCCCTTGGTTTGGTGGCCCAAAACCAAGCCCAAAGAAAGAAATCCAGGTCCTCACTGCATGTCTGCGCCTTCACCTGGCGCAACTCGCTCGCAGAACGAGCGCGGGCGGACCGCTGTTTTCGTCAAATTTCTCCTACCCCAAGCCGACCCTAAGGACGCGGTGAAAGTGCTCGATCGGGGGTAGATCGATTCGGTCACCGCACTGAACCCTGCATTTTGGACAAGAAAGGTACACAACCTTTTATAACCGCGCTAAAAAACGATCCTTTGGCGATCGATTCTCCACTTTCACCGCGTCCTAAGTTGGTGTTGCGAAGGACGTGGACAGCCGGCCCGCTGTTTTGTCAGCCAGCCAGCTCGCTTCTGTCACTCTCCCTACTTCTGCGGCACAACCTATCATTGTACCGCGAAATGACGTTCCTGAACTTAGGGGGGTCTGCAGAACTGTATTACGAAGTTTCTGTAGACCCGAGCGGTAAGGAGTTCCGTACGATGCAGGGAAAAGTAGTCGCAGGTGAAGTTGTAAATGTGATTGAGGTACAGTAGCTTCTATTTACTCAAGGTGTAGCTCCTTACAAGATTGGATGTCTTTATATTCGCACCTCGATCGCGCGAAACGAGCCGCCATACTAGAAGCGTGAATCGCGCATAACACGAGGCTACGCGTCAGTACAAAGCATAACCAGCCTTGTATATTCATCACGGCGATGAAGCTACTTATTCGAGATTCCCGACTGTCCTTTCCCGTCCTTTCGTGTCTGCATAGTAAGCCAAACTTGCGCATCCCGTACGACAGTGGCGCGGGACTAGGTTTGCGCCTCATGAATACGATGGATTTTCGCGGCTCGGCGTTTCCAACCCACGCGCTTCGACTAGCAGTCTTACTGATCATCACTGTCGCGCCCGCCGCTGCTGCCCGGCGGATAGGTAAGCGGCCTATCATGTTGACATGAGGCTGACGTGTCTCGCTTGGTTGAAATGAAGGCTGTACCCGCTCCGTTTGGAGTTTGAAAGGAGACGGTGGGCGAACGGTAAGAAACGGTGGACGACGGCGGAAGTTTAGCAGCCGCCTGCGCGGCTGCAAGCAGTACACACCGGAGCATCGTTCCTACTAAAAGGGCACGCTGCAAGTTGTCTTTCTCTCCAAGCAAACGTGGTAGCACGCCGGTTTTTTCTCCATCGGCGCGCAGCATACCTTTTTCCTCCCCGCACGGCGGCACGCTCCTTTGAACGCGGCGTTGATCGTTGAGCGCACTGTGACTCCGTGACTGGTCACCACATTTAGCACCGAGTTTCGTGCTGCACCGCATTGCAGCCCATGTCATCACGTGATACCCCGTGGTACCACACGGCACCGCGCCAAACCCAGGACCCAGGCCTTGAAATGTTACAAACCCTAAGGCGCTTGTTTCTTACCCTAGGCCGACGCGCGACCCACAACCGCCCGCCCGCAGGTCGCAGCCAGCGCGCCGCGGCGATCGCGCTTCGGCTGCTGGAGCTCGCGCTTAGACGCCGCTAGAACGCAGCCGCGGCCCGCGCGCAGCCGCACCCTAGGCGCCGCCGCGCACCGAGCATAGGCCCGCCGTCGCGCTGCCATACCCACCCGAGCCGCGCCGCCCGAGTCGCGCCGCCCGAGTCGCCCCGCCCTGACCGAGCCGCGCCGCCCTACCTGCAGCAACTGCTCTTCCTGCTCCTACTGCTACTACTGTTGCTACTGCTAGTGCTGCTACTGCTACTACTGCTACTGCTACTCGTGCTACTGCCACTATGGCATGTCCCACTGTTCTCACCTTTGACGCCGAGGGCCGCCCGATTAAGTTCGATGTCTGGCTTGATGACCTTCACCTGTACCTCCAGATCACTGCCAAGGACGATGTTTCCCTCTATGACCACACGTCCGGCGCTGCTCCCGCACCTCCCACTACTACTGACAGTACTGCTCGCTCCCAGTGGCAGACCCGTGATGCTCACGCTCGCCTAGCCGTTCGCAGCCACCTGCCGTTAGATGAGCGCGAGCACTTCGGCCAGCATAAGACCACTAAGGAGCTGTACGACGCAGTAGTCGCGCGCTACTCCTCCCCTGCCACTGCTGCTATAGGCCGTCTCTCACTGCCCTACCTCTTCCCCGACCTGTCCGCCTTTGCCACTGTAGCTGACCTCATCACCCACCTCCGTACCAGTGACCTCCGCTACCGTGCCGCGCTCCCCCCCGATTTCCTCGCCAAGAACCCCCCCCCCCCGATGTACCTCACACTGTACCACCTTGTCACCCGCCTCCCTGACTCCCTTCGCACTGTCAGGGACCAGTTTCTCGCCCTCTCCCCCACTGACCTCACTGTCGACCTCCTCGAGAAGGAACTCCTAGCAGCTGAGAAGCGCATTGTAGCTGTAGGTGCCTCTCGTGGTGACCCCCGCACCCCCTTCTTTGAGGGGTGCTCCCCCTCCCCCCTCCTCCCCTCCATTGCATCTGCTGCTGCTGTCGACTACCTCGGAGCTGAGGGGGTCGGGGCCGCGTCTGCTCCTAGTGGGAGGCGCAAGGGCGGCAGGGGCAAGGGGGGCAGGGGTGGTGGAGGTGGAGGCGGGGGCGGCGGCGGTGGAGGGGGTGGGGGGGGCGGGGGTGGTGGCGGAAGTGGGAGTGGCGCGGGTGGTGGGGGGGTCAGCGGCGGCACAGGGGGTGGTGGCGGCGGCGGCGGTGGTGGGGGTGGTGGGGGCGGTGGTGGCAGTGGTGGCGGCGGTGGAGCGGGTGGCGGGCGCGGTGGAGCGGTGCAGCGTGGGGGGTTCGGCGGTGGCCAGAGGCAGCAGCAGAAGCGTCCCGGCGAGACCTCCTCGCCCCAGCAGCTCCGTGAGTGGTACTCTCAGCGTGGGGGGTCTGGGGGTGGAGGTACCTGCCCGTACGTCATCCGCACAGGTGACCGCACTGGCCAGACTTGTGGGAAGTTTCACACGGCGCAGCGCTGTTTCTTTCGCCTCGACGACGCCTGGCGCGAGCAGTTCCCTGACGCCTCTGAGCTGCCCCGCTGGGCTGATCTGCTTAGGAAGGGGATTGATATCTTTGCTCTTGATTATGATGCTATCCTTGCTGCTATGTATGCATTGACTATTAGTGTTGAGGGTGACTGTTACCTGAGTGTACCGCCCGACCCGGGTATTGGGACCTGTGAGGCTGCAGCTCTAGGTGCTAGCGCCTCTGCTGCTCTAGGTCCTGGTGAGGCTGCTGCCCTAGGTGCTAGTGCGTCTACGTCTGCTGGTACCGCACCTACTGAGGCACTGCACACCTTCACACTGGACTCAGGTGCTTCCCGCTGTTTCTTCCGCGACCGCACTGCCCTAGAGCAGCTCCCTAGACCGGTTGCTGTCTCCCTGGCCAACCCCTCAGGGGGTCCGGTCCTTGCGACCTCCACCACTGCCCTCCCTTGTCCTGCTGTCCCGTCTGGCACGCTGTCGGGCCTCTACCTCCCCTCGTTCTCTACGAACTTGGTGGCGGGTTCCGCGCTCCAGGACGCGGGTGTTCACCAGTTCACCCCGGCCTATGAGCGTGTGACGCACTGCACGTGCGCCCGTACGGGTCGTCACCTGGCTACCTTCACTCGGCAGCCGGGGTCGGACTTGTACACACTGACCACTGAGTCCCCTCAGGTAGCTGCGTCTGCGTCTGCGTCAGGTCAGCTGTCGGCCCCCTGCTCGTGTCGCTCCCTGTCACACAGGACTGTTCTCTGGCACCACCGCCTTGGTCACCCGTCAGTGCAGCGCCTTCGCGGCATGTACTCCAGGTACCTTGTCTCTGGTCTTCCCAGGGTTCTCCCTCCCCTGCCACTCTCGCCTGCTCCTCCCTGTCTTCCCTGTGTCGAGGGGCGGCAGCGCGCCGCTCCTCACTCTTCCTCGTTCCCTCCCACAGAGGCTCCCCTGCAGACTCTCCACCTGGACGTGTGGGGCCCCGCCCGCGTCCGGGGACAGGGCCACGAGCGGTACTTTCTGCTGGTCGTCGACGACTACACGCGCTACACCACGGTCTTCCCCTTGCGTACCAAGGGTGAGGTCCCTGATGTCTTGATCCCCTGGATCCGCGCTGCTCGTCTCCAGCTCCGCGAGCGGTTCCAGTCGGACTTTCCTGTCCTACGTCTGCACTCTGACAGAGGTGGCGAGTTTTCCTCTGACCTCTTGGCAGCCTACTGTGCGGAGCACGGCATCCGCAAGACGTTCACTCTCCCGGCCTCTCCGCAGCAGAATGGGGTTGCTGAGCGCCGCATTGGTCTTGTCATGGAGGTCGCTCGTACCTCCATGATCCATGCGGCTGCCCCCCATTTCCTGTGGCCGTTTGCAGTGCAGTACGCCGCGCATCAGCTCAACCTCTGGCCCCGTGTCTCTGTTCCGGAGACCTCGCCTACCCTGCGTTGGACGGGGGAGGTTGGCGATGCGTCGGTGTTCCGAGTCTGGGGATGTCGAGCCTTTGTCTGCGATACGTCCGCGTACAAGCTCTCCTCCCGTGCCGTTCCCTGTGCGCGAGGTGCTGAGCGTGCTGAGCCTGGTGGTGCTGGGTCTGGGGGTACTGAGACTGGGGGTGCTGAGCCTGGGGGTGCGGAGACTGGGGGTGCTGAGCCTGGGGGTGCGGAGACTGCGGGAGCTGAGCCTGGGGGTGCTGAGACTGGGGGTGCTGAGCCTTGGGGTGCTGCGACTGGGAGTGCTGAGCCTAGAGGAGCTGAGGCTGGGAGTTCTGAGACTGACCGTACTGCGCCTGGTGGCGCTCCCTCTTCACAGCAGCTGCGTGAGTGGTACTCCCAGCGTTACAGCCTCCGTCGTGGGGCTACTAGAGCTGGGAGGTCTGCTGGAGTTGGGGCTGGCAGCCCTGCGGGTGCAGTGTCGCAGCCGGAGCCTCCCTCCCCTCAGCGGCTACGTGAGTGGTACGCTCGGCGCTGCAGCCTCCGGAGTGGAGCTCCTGGTGTTGAGGTACCGCCAGCTGGAGGCCCTGCTGCTACTGGAGGTCCTGGAGCTGCTGGAGGTGCTGCTGGTGCTGGTGCTGCTGGTTCGGCTGGAGGTTCTGGAGCTGCTGGAGGTGCTGCTGGTGCTGGAGCTGCTGGAGGTGCTGCTGGTACTGCTGAAGGTTCTGGAGCTACTGGAGGTGCTGCTGAGGCTGGTGGAGGTACTGGAGCTGCTGGAGGTGCTGCTGGTGCTGGTTCGGCTGGAGGTTCTGGTGCTGTCTCTGCTGCTTCTGGGGGCACTTCACGGCCGCGGCCGTACTTCGTTCCACTCCTTCAGCAGGTTCTTGGTCAGCCGCCTCCTCCTAGTCCTCCTCCCTCCTTAGAGTGTCCTCCGCCTGACCAGTCGCAGTCACAGCTACCGCCTGCCTCGCCACTTCCTGGTCCTTCTCCCTACACTGGTCCGACAGGCAATCTTACAGAGCGTCGTGAGCCTGAGTCTCGTCCTGTGTCACCAGTGTCTCGTCCTGTGTCACCTGTTCGTGCTGCTCGCACTGGTCGCCGTGTTCCGCGTGAGCGTCCTCCACCTGTCCCTGGCACACACTATATGACTCTGCGTCCTTCCACTGCTCCACAGCATGTCCCTCTCCCGTCTCCTCCTGCGTCCTCTCTTCCTGTTCTTGCTGACCCGGAGTCTGACTCTCTTCGTGCTGCCAGTCCTACTGTCACGCGTCTCCTGGCCAGTGCTGTCACTGACCCTTCCTTTGAGTCTGCTGCTGCGTCTACCCTAGTTGCTGAGCTTGTCGACTTTGCTGCTCACTGTCGTCTAGTCTACGCCGCTAGTCTTGTTGCTGAGTCTGAGTCTGTCTGTCCTCCGTCCGTCGGGGGTGAGTGTGCTCTAGGCACGGACGTCCTTGAGGACAGACAGGAGGACATTGAGTGTCTTGCAGCCGCTGCGCCTCATCTCGTGTCCATGCTGATTGCCCCTGAGGGATACCCGGATGCTCCAGACATCCCGACCCCGCGCTCTTACGCTGAGGCGATCGCGGGTGAGTACTCCTCTTAGTGGCAGTCAGCCATGGATGCAGAGATGGCATCCTGGAAGTCCACTGGCACTTACGTCGACGAGGTTCCCCCTCCTGGGGCGAACATCGTCAGTGGCATGTGGATTTTCAGGGTGAAGCGGCCGCCGGGTTCCCCGCCTGTCTTCAAGGCTCGTTACGTGGCTCGAGGCTTCAGTCAGCGAGAGGGAGTAGACTTCTTTCAGACCTTCTCCCCCACCCCAAAGATGACCACTCTTCGGGTGCTACTGCACGTTGCTGCTCAGCGTGACTACGAGCTTCACTCTCTTGACTTCAGCACAGCTTTCTTGCAGGGCAGCCTGCACGAGGAGATCTGGCTGCGCCGCCCTCCTGGCTTCACTGGGTCGTTTCCTCCTGGTACCCAGTGGAGCCCCCGGTGGCCGGTCTACGGTCTCCGCCAGGCGCCACGTGAGTGGCACGACACACTGAGGACTACTCTTGCGGCACTTGGGTTCACGCCATCTACTGCTGACCCGTCGCTGTTTCTGCGCACCGACACTTCGCTGCCGCCGTTCTACATCCTCGTGTACGTCGACGACTTGGTCTTTGCCACTGCTGACACTGAGGCTCTCGCCCACGTGAAGTCCGAGCTGCAGAAGAGACACACGTGCACAGACCTGGGTGAACTGCGCAGCTACCTTGGCTTGCAGATCACCCGGGACAGAGCATGCCGCACCATCACACTGACTCAGTCACACATGGTGCAGTAGGTCCTTCAGCGCTTCGGCTTCACCTGGTCCTCAGCACAGGCCACTCCTCTGGCTATAGGTCACTCGCTCTCAGCTCTGCCTTCGGATGAGTCCGTAGAGCCGAGTGGTCCTTACCCAGAGCTAGTTGGTTGCCTCATGTACCTGATGACTTGCACTCGTCCTGACCTAGCATACCCTCTTGGCCTTCTGGCCCGCTATGTGGCTCCTGGCAGGCACCGAAAGGTGCACTGGGATGCTGCAAAGAGGGTATTGCGCTACTTGTGCAGTACATCGGGCATGGGGCTCGTGCTTGGAGGAGGGAGCCCAGTTGTTCTCACTGGGCACTCAGACGCTTCTTGGGTTGACGACCAGGCTACTCAGCGGTCGTCACAGGGTTACACCTTCAGCCTTGGCTCTGGCTCAGTTTCTTTGCGTTCTACTCGTTCGTCTTCAGTTCTCAGCTCCAGTTGTGAGGCTGAGATCTACGCCACAGCCATGGCTGCACAGGAGTTACGCTGGCTCACCTACCTGCTGACCGACTTGGGAGAGCGGCCTCGTTCTCCTCCAGTGCTGTACGTCGACAACAAGGCTGCCATTGCCTTGTGTGAGGAGCACAGACTGGAGCACAGGACGAATCACATCGCTCTACGTTACTTTCTGGCTCGAGAGTTGCAGCAGCGTGGTCAGCTTCGTCTGCGTTTTGTGGCCTCTCAGGCCAACACTGCTGATATATTCACCAAGGCACTTCAGTCTGGTGATCATCAGCGTTTCTGCACTTTGCTAGGGCTTGTGCCCACTTTTCCTCACTTGTTGTAGACTTTGCCTGTACTGTGATCTATATATCTATACCTGCATACTTGCTAGACATAGATCACTGTGATGTTTGTGCTATATATATGCCTCTGCATGTGAACTGGCCTTGTGGTCCTTTGCTTGTGCTCAGAGTTTGTGGTGACGTTGTGATCCACCCTGAGCTTGCTTTGGTTTTCTTGACTGGTCCTGTGACCCCTTGTTCTCCCCCACTTAGCCTATGGGGGTGTGTCAAACATTATATATGTTTCTGTTGTGTAGGCTACAGTGGGTTAGCCTTTAGGGGGTACATTTCACTAGGGTTTCCTACTTGTACTCCAACAACTTTCTAGTTCATCACTTCTTGTTTCTGACAAAGACGCGTTCGCCGCGGCGGCGCGCAAATGGCTCGCGACGGTGAAGCAGCGCGTGCAGAAACTGATTCAGCAGGCGGCGGGAGGCGGAGGGAAAGGGCGCGGATCGAGCAAGTGTTGAAGGTGGTTAGCTAACCACTACCTAGAGCGACCTACATCAACCTAAGAAGGACCTACTGTGACGAGATGTGACTAAGGGAAAACGAGGACCTAAGAAGAATAGGAGCTATCTATGTTGGGACGGTGGAAGGAGAAACACGGTAGCGGCGCGACCTGCAGTGGGAATCGAAGAGAAGAAGGGGAAGTGTGTAGAAGTGGAGTAGAAAGTGGCTGAAATGTCGAGATTTCAAGCGACGTGAAGAGAAGTCACGCCGGGTCAAAGGCGCATCCAAGGAAGTCTGAAATTCGAACTCGAGGCGCGTTCGGTGCATGGTTGGATTTGGAAATTGAGCTGAGTACAAGTCAGCTCTAAATTAGGCGCGGCGCGAGGGCGAAATCAGAAATTCTTTTGCTTATAACTTGCTTTGTGTTTTCTGTTTTTGTATGCCTTCTTCAATGAAATTACTTGAACTTTCTGTCTTGGATTTTTCCAGCACATTTCTTCACACAGTTGAGGACAGAGCTTCCTAAGATTGCTACTAAGACTCTGAATAGTCTTTTTAGTCTAAACTAAAGGCTGCGCAAATACAAGAGCAAGGGAAACGGCGGACGCGGGAACACCACAACCGTTGGTGAGAGTCGCGCGGGGACGCAACTATGGGTGGAGTGCGGTGGAATGAGGTTTAGGGCACGGTACAACGGTTCTCAAGGGTGTGCTGGCAGGGGTGTGAACTGAATTCTTGCTGGTAAGGTGCTTTGGGAAGGTGAGTTCTCACTCGCCTCCTCCTCTCTCTCCTTCCTCCTCGCGCTCTACCCTCATCCCCCTGCCCCTCCTCTTCCCCTACTGTCAGACCGCAGTCTAGGCTACGTCCCCTCCACCACCAAGGACCTCGCCAAGCTGCCCAATCTCACGTCAGATCTTCTCTTCTGCTCTTCCCTCCCTCTTCTACTCCCTGCGCTCTTCCCCCTCCCCCTCCCCCTTCCCCTCCGTCAGACCGCAGTCTAGGATACACGCCTCCCACCACCAATGACCTGGCCAAGCTACGTGTGCTTACACCATTCCCTCTTAACTCCCTCTTCTCTCGCTGTGCCTCCCCTCCCCCCACCGCCAGACCGCAGTCTGGGGTACGTCCCCCCCATGACCAAGGACCTCAATCCCGCCAAGCTGCCCAATCTCAACACCACGCTCGACCCCGCCTCGCAGAAGATCACGTGGGATTTCAAGAAGAGCGTGAACCACAGCAAGTATTTTCCTGAAGACGATTTCGACCAGGGCAACTGCGGTGCGTGCTGTTGGCTGCCGTTGACCCGCGTTGACTTCTGTTGACCGGCGTTGAGTTCTTTTGACCGGCATTGACTTCTGTTGACCAGAGTTGACTTCTACTGACCCTCGTTGACTTTTCTTGACCGCCATTGTATTCTGTTGACTGGCGTTGACTTCTTTTGACCCGCGTTGACTTCTGTTGACCTGCAATGGCTCTGTTGACCCGCGTAGACTTCTGTTGACCTGGTTTGTCTGCTGTCGAAGTGTGGTTGACTTGTGGGCGGTCATTGACTTCATTGGCTTGGGCCCGTATGCCATCAAACCCCTCCCAGGAGCCTGCTGGGCGTACGCATCAGCGCGGGCGGTGCAGGGTGCGTATGCGAAGCTCAAAGAGACGGACGATGATGTGTTCCCCAGCGGAATGAGCCCATCGGTGCAGCACCTGGTGGACTGCACGGGCGCTGCTGCCTCGTGCCGGGGGGGTTACCCCGAGGCTGCCCTGCAGTATGCCGCCAAGATCGGGCTGCGGGACGAGGCGGGATATGCCTACACGGGGGCGAGCGGCAAGTGCAGTGTTAACGAGGACTCGGTGAGTTTTCAGTCGACCAAAACGCCGTGAAGAACGGGATGCAGCGCTGCAGGGTGAAGCAGGCTATGCGTACACAGGGGCCAGCGGCAAGTGCAGCGTCAACAAGGATACGGTGAGGTTTCACTCGACCCGATATGTGTGCCTTGGTACCGAAATGTGCCTTGGTACCCGAAATGCACAGCGGTACTCTCAATCTGCGCTGCTTTCTCTTCCCTACCACCCCTCACCACGCCTCTCCACCTCTCTCAGGAATTCTTCAACATCAGCATGTACGAGCAGGTGCCGCTGCCGCCGGGGCCGCTGGGGCTGGTGGCTGGCCAATGCTCCCTCCCTCTTCCTTACCGTGTGCTTTCTCTTCCCCACCACCCCTCACGACCCCTCACCACCCCTCTCCACCGCTCTCAGGATTTTTTCAACATCTCGATGTACGAGCAGGTGCCACTTCCGGGGCCGCTGGGGCTCATTCTCGCGCTGCAGAAGCAGCCCGTCATCGTCACCATCCGCGCCTCCTCCCAGGACTTCATCGACTACGCGGTGAGTTGGTGTTTGGCTGCTGCTGCTGCTGCTGCTGTTGCTGCTGCTGGCTGCAGCTGCTGCCGCAGCTGCTGCTACTGCTGCTGCCGCTGCTGCTGCTGGTGCTGCTGCTGCTGCTGCTGCTGCTTCTGCTGCTGCTGCTGCTGCCGCTGCTGCTGCTGCTGCTGCTGCCGCTGCTGCTGCTGCTGCTGGCTGCAGATGCTGCTGCAGCTGCTGCTGCTGCTGCTGCTGCTGCTGCTGCTGCTGCTGCTGCTGCTGCTGCTGCTGCCGCCGCTGCTGCTGCTGCTGCTGCTGCTGCTGCTGCTGCTGCTGCTGCTGCTGGCGAGACTTCGAGGGATTTAACCACACTTCCTCTTTCCCACCCACCCTCCCTGCCTTCCTCCCTCCCTCCGCCCCTCACAGGAGGGCATCTACGAGGCCTTGAACTGCTACAGCCCCGTGGGGGAGGTCTGGGAGGACACGCAGAGCGGGTCACACACCCACCTACCCGCCCACCCACCCACAACCCCATCCGCCCTCCCTCCGCCCCTCACAGGAGGGCATTTACGAGGGCTTGAACTGCTACAACCCCGTGGGGGAGGTCGTTGTGGATACGCGGGGCAACGGGTTCAGGGCGACAGCTACAGCCACCAACAACACGGGGCTGCTGGACCACGTGATGCTGGCCGTGGGGTACAACTACGATGTGCTGGGCAGCGCGCAGAATTACTTCATTCTGAAGAACCGCTGGGGCCCGCAGTGGGGCGAGAATGGGTACATGCGGATCCGCATGGAGCGTGATCCGTTCGGCACGTGCGGCATGCTGGTCAACCGCGGGCTCTACCCCGTTGTGAACTGTGAGTGTGGGGCCTGTGAGAGGCTCTACCTTGTTGTGAACGGTGAGTGTGGGGACTGAGAGAGGCTCTACCCTGTTGTGAACGGTAAGGGAACCATCCATTTCCACTTTTTACTCCCTTGTGCTTGTTTTTTTCTTTGGTTTTCCTTTCCTTTTTTTTTTTCCTCTTTCCTGCTTTCTTCCTTCCATCCTTTGTTTTTTTCTTTCTTTTTTCTCCTCCTTCCTCTCCCAACCCATAGCATCTCGCCAGCCCGCCAGACCACGGACCCCTGCGGCACGTCGCCGTACGGGGGCGGCACGTGTGTGGCGGACACAAGTGGTAACGGCAAGTACACATGTCAGTGCTCGGACCTGCTAGCACCCGCTGAAAACCGCGACGGCACACCCACCTGCATTATCAGTGAGTGGGCCCTTGTGAGGTTGGATGGGTGCTTTGGCACTTGGGGTGTTTTGGCACTTGGGGTGCTTTGGCACTTGGGGTGCTTTGGCACTTGGGGTGCTTTGGCACTTGGGGTGCTTTGGCACTTGGGGTGTTTTGGCACTTGGGGTGTTTTGGCACTTGGGGTGCTTTGGCACTTGGGGTGCTTTGGCACTTGGGGTGCTTTGGCACTTGGGGTGTTTTGGCACTTGGGGTGCTTTGGCACTTGGGGTGCTTTGGCACTTGGGGTGCTTTGGCACTCGGGGTGCTTTGGCACTCGGGGTGCTTTGGCACTCGGGGTGCTTTGGCACTCGGGGTGCTTTGGCACTCGGGGTGCTTTGGCACTCGGGGTGCTTTGGCACTCGGGGTGCTTTGGCACTCGGGGTGCTTTGGCACTCGGGGTGCTTTGGCACTGGGGGTGCTTTGGCACTGGGGGTGCTTTGGCACTGGGGGTGCTTTGGCACTTGGGGTGCTTTGGCACTTGGGGTGCTTTGGCACTTGGGGTGTTTTGGCACTTGGGGTGCTTTCGTGGTTTTGCTGCTCAGAGGCTAGGCTTAAGAAGGTGCACTTGGTGGTCGGGATGAGCTGGTTTGCAAAAAAAAACAAAAAGAATCTGCTTTTACCCCATACGCGAGAACGCATGCTGCCATCTTGCTCGCTTGTCCCCTCCACTTTGCATTCAACTCCTTTCCCTTCAACCTTTCCTTCCACCCTTTCCCCCCACCCTTTCCTTCCACCCTTTCCCCCCACCCTTTCCTTCCACCCTTTCCCCCCACCCTTTCCTTCCACCCTTTCCCCCCACCCTTTCCTTCCACCCTTTCCCCCCACCCTTTCCTTCCACCCTTTCCCCCCACCCTTTCCTTCCACAGCCGACATCTCCATTGTGCTGCCCAGCAACCCCTGCAGCGGTTACCTGCTCTCACTCCCCCACTTCTCTCTCTTTCTCCTTGTCCCCTCCCACAGTTGACATCTGCAGTGTGTTGCCCAACAACCCAAATGTCGTGGCCCAGTGCATCAACGGTGGCAAGCATCGCATATCCCGTCTCATTCCCCCCAATCCTCTCTCATTCTCCCTCTCCCATTTATCCTTCCTTTTCAGTTGACATATGCAGTGTGCTGCCCAGCAACCCGTGCGTCATCGGGCAGTGCATCAACAGCGGCGACGGCGGCTACTCGTGCCACTGCCCGCCCAACTACAAGACCAGCACTCTCGCCTCCGGCCAAATTACTTGCGTGCCTGGTAACCAAAGAGAAATGGGGGAGGCGGGAGGCGAGAGTGAGAGTGTGAGGGAGATGTAGTGTTGGGAATGGAATGGATGAACGGCGGCTTCTCGTGCCTTTGGCCCCCCAACCATTTCTTTTCTTTTCTATTCTTGTCTTTTCTTTTCTTTTCCTTCTTTTTTTCTTTTCAATTCTTTTTTTCTTTTCTTTCCCTGATCCATTCTTAACCATGTTTGACATTGCACGTCCCATCCCTCGGCATGGCAGAGATGGCTGGGAGCACAGCAGCAGTGCAGGGCACGTACACAGTGCAGAGAAAGGGGGCTAAACGTCTCAAATCTCTAGATTTCACATCCCACACTATGTTTCCCATCCCTCGGCATGGCAGAGATGTCAACGAGTAGTGCAGCAGCGGTGCAGGGCACGTACACAGTGCAGGGGGGGGAGACGTGTGGCGCCAACTTTGGCTTCATCGGCCTCACCCAGGACCAGTTCCTCCTGCAAAACGAGGTGAGAGGAGTGAGAGTGGCAAGAGTGATTGGACCAGTTCCTCCTGCAGAACGAGGTAAGAGCATTGAGGGAGTGAGGGGTGAGAGGGATAATGAGGTGAGAGCAGTTCCTCCTGCAGAATGAGGTGCGCGCAGTTGGTGTTAAAAGCAGCTAGCTGCTGCAGAATGAGGTAACAGGAGGGACGGATAAGAGCGATGAGGGCAGTTGCTGCTGCAGATTTCGACGCCTCAAAAGATGTTGGCATGTTGGCATGTTGGGCACCTGGCCTGCTGTCAGAGTGTCCCACAGTCAGCACAGTCAACACACTCCACGCCCTGCTCATACCTCAGTCTGCTGCAGGAACGACTTTTGAGGCGCCTCAACTCCTGCCCTATCCTTTCCCCCCTCCATTTGACCTTCCCCCCCCATTTTCTCCTTCAGGGAGTGGACTGTGAAGATCTTGGGGCGGTGCTCAACATCTCCATCCCCTCCTCGGCTCAAGTGTGTTACATGTCACCCAGGTGCGTTACATGTCACCCAGGTGCGTTACATGTCGGCCACATTGTCAACCAAGGCGTTACATGCCTCCCAGGTGCGTTACATGCCTCCCAGGTGCGTTACATGTTGCCCAAGTGTGTTACATGTTGACTGCACTGTCACTGAGGCACGTGACATGTCCCCAGGTGCGATACAAGTCGCCTTGGTGCGTTACATGTCTCTCGGATGCGCTAAATGTCTCCCGGGTGGATTACGCACTACGCAGCTACACTGTCACTCCCCCCCTCACCCACTCTCTCCCCCATCGCACCTCTTCCACCCCCTCTATCTGCGCAAATCCAGCCATCAACTCTCACTTCTCTCCCTCCCTCCTCCCTCCCCCTTCCCAAATAATTCCCCGTAGCAAAGAGTTGTGGTCCCACTGGTGCTCAATTCTTTTCTCCTCGCCCCAACTCAACTAGCAAACGCCGTTGCTTTACAAGAAAGAGTGTCATGTACTCGGATTTCGACCGAGCTCAAAGCTTGGACAATGTGTTCTTTTCTCTTTCAAGAAGTTGTGCCGTCACCAACATAGTAGCCTCTCACACTTGTCAGGTCTTCTTGTTCTAATGCCCAAAAACTACCAAAAAATGCATCATCCACGCCCTTTTGACGCGTTTGTGTCGCCGAAGAGTATTGCAGCACAACTGTCGCTGTTTGGCCAAGATACTTGGTCACCCTCAATCCAGTTGTTATCTGCTCATCATTGGGGCTTTGGACAATCCTGACCGGTAGCAAAAAGGCGTGTTCCCATCGGTGCTCATTTTTTCCCCTTCACCCCTCAATCCTTTTTCCCTGTCCACCCCCCCACCTCTTTCCCCCCTCTCACTCTTCCTCCCCTTCCTCGATCGGCATGCATCCAGCCATGAACTCTCACTTTTCCTCCCCCCCTCCTCCCCCTCCCGTCTCAACCCCTTCCTCATTCCCCCCTCCCCCTCAACCCCTTCGGTGCTCAATTTCCCCCCCCCTCGCCCCTCAGCCCCTCAGCTCCCCTGCCCACCCCCCTTCCCCCTCCCCTGTCCCCCAGGCGGATGCGGCAGCACAGAGCTGTGATCCCATCAACACCCGCTTCGGCATAGACGTCATGACCATCAACCCCAACCTCGACTGGACAACCCTGGTGCCCAACCAGCAAGTGAGGGGAGTGGGGAGTGACGGGCGTATCATGGGCTTTAGGTGCGCTTGCATCGACAGCACGAGCTTTTGAGACAGTCTCAAATAAAGGTGCATCGACAGCACACGCGTTTATGTCAGCAATTGGCTCACGTGCTCCCCTCTTCCCTCTGGAATCTGTAACTCTCTCTTGCCATTTTGTTCCTTCCCTCACCCTCTCCTCCCCTCCCTTCCCCCCTTCCGCAGATCTGCATTCAGGTGGGGGACGTGGTGTCAGGAGCAGCGGGCTACAACCCGTGCACGGAGTACCAGCCAGTCACCCAGCGAACCACCTGCACCCCTCTCCTCTCACTGTCCTACGCTCTCTCTCGCCCTCACCTCAGATCTGCATTCAAGTTGGAGACGCGGTGTCAGGAGCAGCGGACTACAATCTCTGCACGGAGTATCAGCCGGTCACGCAGTGGTTCACGTGTACCAGCGCCGTCGCAAACTACGGCATGACGTGGTTCGACCTCTACCGCCTCAACCCCGGCATCAACTGCGACTCTCTCAGCACGCTCACAGGCTCTGAGGTACCCATGGGGAGTTGGTGCTAGGGGGAGCATGGCACCTGGAGTGCGAATAGAGGGGTATGGGGCATCTCCTGGCTCGACCTCTACCGCCTCAACCCCGGCATCAACTGCGACTCCCTCAACATGCTCACAGGCTCTGAGGTACCAACGAGCAAAGGGGGTGGCGCTATGGAGGGTGGTTAGGTCCCGTCACAATTGCAACACCGGGGGAGGATCGGGATTGTGACGTGTTTGGCAGTATCGCTCGTCACCAGGCTGTACATTCTGCACACCGATCCCTCACAGGATCGGTGTTGCAATTGTGACGCGTCCTTAGTCGGAATGGATTTCAACATGTAGGTTCTTCTTTTTTCTCAATTCCGGCTCCAAGGTGCCAACAGCATGGCTGTGGGGGCTGGCTTAAGGGAATGGGGTCAATTGGAGGGGTGCTACGCTAAGGGGAGGTGGCGCTAGGGGAACTGCGGCATCCTCGCTGTTGGTGCAACCCTACGGTTTGCACTCGGCTTGTTGTCCGTGTGCGTGAATGTATGTGTGTATGGAATGGTATGAGGGCATGGGATAATATATATTTCATGCTTATAATTGTGTGTGAATGTTGAGTCATGATGTCGAGTGTGTGTGTCGAGTCAATAGCGAGTTATCGCTAGACGCGTGTTACGCGGTCGTTTGTGTCTCGCGCGCGGTTTCTAATTTGTCGTGCGCGGTTTCTATTTTGTCCTGTGTCGAACGTTCGGCGTGTCGCAGGTGTGTGCAGCAGACCCATCAAGAACTCAAGGATGAGTTTGTGATGAAGAGCCCGAGCCTTGGTGTCAAGCCTCAAGTGATTTCGAAGCTCGCCAAAAAAGGGTACACCTCAAGATATTGAAGATAGTTACATTACTTTGTGTAGTGTAACATTTCACTTGGTGTAGGCCCTAGTGAAGGGTAGTTTCGAGACCCTTCGTGGTTGGGGACAGTGTGGCACTGTTCCACATCACTGTACCTCGGCTCTTGGGGTTTGTAGGAGCTGGGAGTCATTCCCAACTCGTAACTCTTCCTATCTTGTGTTCTAAGACTATAGTGGCTGCCATAGTACCGTTCGTTCAAACCGACGCTGTGTCGTCAATTCTTTATCAAATCGTGCAATCTAAATTGCTAATTGTAGATGACGTGAAGACGCTCCAGATCCAATTTGAATCAAGTCATTTGCAGCTGTGAGCAGAACGCTATCAACGTTTGAAGCCGCTGTGCAGAAATCCATCTGTGCTCTCTATCTTTCGTTTTAGGCACATTCAAGCCTATTGTGACTATAACACTCACATGCTCCGAGGTACCGCGCTCACCGGCTCCGAGGTACGTAAGAGGGGATGGCGCTAAGGATGGTGGCTCTGGGAAAGCGAATAGAGGGGTTTGCGGGACTAGGGAGGGCGCAAGGGAGGGTCCCGACATCAACTGTGACACCCTCACCTCGCCCACCGCGTCTGAGATACCTATGATGACGGGTGGCACTGGGGAGGGAGGCACTCTTTAGGGTGGTTTGAGGGAATGAGCTTCAACAAATGGGTTCCTTCACTCAATAGCCAATGCCACAAGCAAAAGTCGCATTTTGCAGCACACAAGTCCAAGAATATTATCCCTCACAACTGCAAACTTTCGCAAGATTGCTGGAGTCTTGTTCTCCTCCCCGCTAACCGCCCAGATTTGCACGGCTGGCACGCCGATGGGAGCGGTGGCGTGCGGTAAGGCGCGGTCGAAGACGGTGGCGAACCGGCGGTACACGGTGGGGGCGGGGGACAGCTGTGCGTCGCTGGTGGTGGTGCAGTTCCAGCGCCAGCCGCCGCTCATGGGCGAACTCAACCGCGGCTGGATGTGCCGCTCCCAGTCCCTCTTCGCCGGCATGCCCCTCTGCGTCCCCTCTTAGCACCAATGGTATAACATCCCCACTTCGGACTCCCAGACCCTCTTCGCCGGCATACCTCTCTGCATCCCTTCTCTTCCTAGAGCCGGCGGTGTGGTGTGGCGTATCATTATGGGAAACTGACTTACGAGTGAGGGGGGGCTTTTGGACTAGCCATCTCCTAGTTTTATGGGAATTAGCAAGTGCAATGCGATGTATAATATGCAATGTAAACGACCCGATCTTCTAATGTTATTACGTAACAATAACATGCATATGTTATTACATGCCTCTTGCCCCAAATAAAAAAACTTGTATCATAATTAATCATGATAATTTGTGATGGATAAAAATTTACAGCTTTGACGGGACAGACTAGAAACCTGTTGGGCTCTGCCCGCGCAGGTTCGAGTCCTGCTGAGCACGTTTTCCCGGTCCTTTTTGCGGAGCGACTACACTACACTCAACTGAGACTGGTTGTCCCAAATGTAGGTCGATGTGAAAATATGTCAATGTGTTACGAGTGCAATTGAGTGAACGAACGAGAATTGCACTATCGAAGCAAGAGTACAATGAGCGAAGGCATGAGCGAAGAATATATAGCGAGACTACAGTGGTAACGGTAATGCACTGTGGTTGTCGCGCGACGGGCCTGGGACTGAGGTTGGGAAAAGTGTCGAAGCGGAGGCCCGGAGCGCGGGTTACCCGCCGAGCCGTGAGGTCGGGGTGCGACGTGCGAAGGTGGCGGGCGGATTGTCGATGCGAGGATTGCGAGTGGTAACGGTGCTGACTGTGGTGCTACAGTGATGTACGCGTTGAGCAGGGACGCGAAGTAAGGAAAAAGAGATTTTCCTTACACTACCCCCCCCCCCCTTAAGGAGGTCCTCCTTATGAAAGCGCGTGTACATCCCTGAAGTTCCGGCTGCGCAGATACTCGATGAGGACGGGGTGGTTTTCGATTCTGTCCAGGGGAACCCAATTGTCTTCGGTGGGTGTACGGTCCTTCCAGCGGAGTAAGAACTCGATCCTTCGGGCTCCTCGAGGGTCGCGAACTCTGTGACTCAGGATTTTCTCGGGGGTGATGATTGGTTCAGTTGGTGGTCGTGTCATGCTGGCTGGGCGATTGCGTGGCAGTTGGCTCGTGGACGGTGAGAAGAAACGAGGAATGAAATGACTAAATGAAAGTTGGGTACAAAAAGCAAACCCTAGAAAACTGTACCCCATATGTGCCACCCCACTATAGCCTACAGTAGCTATGTCATATAAACCTGACACACCCCCATAGGCAAAGTGGGGGAGAACAAGGGGTCACAGGACCAGTCAAGCAAAGCAAAACAAGCTCAGGGTGGATCACAAAGTCACCACACATTCCGAGCACAAGTTCAAGGCCACAAGGCCAGTTCACATGCAGGATTATATATATATATAGGGCTAGACAAGCAAGAGCAGGAGTATATATATATATGCATCAGTACAAACAAGGTCAAGGGGTGAGCAAGTGAGGCAAGGTGGGCACAAGACCCAGCTGAGTACAGAAGTGCTGATGATCACAAGGCGCAAGTGCCTTGGTGAAGATATTAGCAGTGTTGGCCTGAGAGGCCACGTACGCAAGCCGCAGCTGACCACGCTGCTGTAGCTCACGAGCAAGGAAGTAGCGGAGAGCAATGTGCTTCGTTCTGTGCTCCAGTCTCTGCTCTCGACACAAGGCCAGCATGGCCTTGTTGTCTACGTACAGCACTGGAGGAGAACGAGGCGGCTCTCCGAGGTCAGTCAGCAGGTAGGTGAGCCAGCGAAGCTCCTGTGCAGCCATGGCCCCGGCGTAGATCTCAGCCTCACAACTGGAGCCGAGAACAGAAGACGAGCGAGTAGCCCGCCACGAAACAGAGCCGGAACCAAGGCTGAAGGTGTAACCCTGTGACGACCGCTGCGTAGCCTGGTCGTCAGCCCAAGAAGCGTCTGCGTGTCCAGTGAGGACCACTGGACTCTGCCCTCCAAGCACAAGCCCCATGCCCGGCGTACTGCACAAGTAGCGCAACACCCTCTTCGCTGCAGCCATGTGCTCCGGTCTGTGTCTCCCAGGAGCAACATAGCGTGCAAGAATGCTAAGAGAGTATGCAAGGTCAGGTCGTGTGCAGGTCATCAGGTACATGAGGCAGCCAACAAGCTCTGGGTACGGGCCACTCGACTCTACGGACTCATCCGAAGGCAGAGCTGAGAGCGAGTGGCGAGTAGGCAGAGGAGTGGCCTGAGGCGAGGAGTACGTGAAGCCAAAGCGCTGAAGGACCTGCTGCACCATGTGTGACTGAGTCAGGGTAATGGTGCGGCGTGCTCTGTCCCGGGTGATCTGCAAGCCAAGGTAGCTGCGCAGTTCACCCAGGTCTGTGCACGTGTGTCTCTTCTGCAGCTCGGACTTCACGTGGGCGAGTCCAGCAGTGTCAGCTGTGGCAAAGACCAAGTCGTCGACGTACACGAGGATGTAGAACGGCGGCAAAGAAGTGTCGGTGCGCAGAAACAGCGACGGGTCGGCAGTAGAGGGAGCAAACCCAAGAGCCGCAAGTGTAGTCCTCAGTGTGTCGTGCCACTCACGCGGTGCCTGGCGGAGACCGTAGACTGGCCGCCGGAGGCTCCACTGGGTGCCAGGAGGAAAAGACCCAGTGAAGCCAGGTGGGCGACGCAGCCAGATCTCCTCGTGCAGGCTGCCCTGCAAGAAAGCAGTGCTGAAGTCAAGAGAGTGCAGCTCGTAGTCGCGGTGAGCAGCTATGTGCAGCAGTACCCGAAGAGTGGTCATCTTCGGGGTGGGAGAGAAGGTCTGAAAGTAGTCAACTCCCTGCCGCTGACTGAAGCCACGAGCCACGTAACGCGCCTTGAAGACAGGCGGAGAACCCGGCGGCCGCTTCACCCTGAAAATCCACATGCCACTGACGATGTTCGCCCCAGGCGGGGGAACCTCGTCAACGTAGGTACCTGTGGACTTCCAGGAAGCCATCTCTGTGTCCATAGCTGCCTGCCACTGAGAGGAGTAGGGACCCTCTATCGCCTCCGCGTAAGAGCGCGGAGTCGGGATGTCAAGTGCATCCGGGTCTCCCTCAGGGGTAAGCAGTACGGACACTAGATGAGGTGAAGCAGCAGCCAAACACTGGAACTCCTCCTGCCTGTCCTCAAGGACGTCCGTGCCAAGGGCACACTCACCCCCGACGGACGGAGGACAGACAGACTCAGACTCAGCGACAAGACAAGCAGCGTAGTCTAGACGACAGCGAGCAGCAAAGTCGACGAGCTCAGCAACTAGGGCAGACGCAGCAGTGGACGCAAAGGAAGGGTCAGTGACAACAGTAGCAAGGAGACGCGTGACAGTAGGACTGGCAGCACGAAGAGAGTCCGACTCTGGGTCGGGAAGAGCAGGAAGAGAGGACTCAGGAGGAGAAGGCAAAGGGGCACGCAGAGGAGCAGTGGACGGACGCAGAGACATCCGGTGCGTGCCAGGGACAGGAGGAGGACGCTGACGCAAACCACGACCACTAGCGCGAGCAGTACGGACAGGCGACGCAGGACGCGACGCAGGCTCACGACGCTCAGCAAGACCTCCAGTAGGACCAGTGTAGGGAGAAGGAGCGGGCAGTGGGGAGGCCGGCTGTAACTGTAACTGTGACAGGACAGGCTGTGCACTCTCTAAGGGAGGAGGAGGGAGAGTAGAAGGCGGGAGACCAAGAACCTGCTGAAGGAGCGGAACGAAGTACGGCCGAGGCCGCGCGGCGACTCCAGACACAGCAGGGACAGCACCAGTACCCCAAGCGGCAGCACCAGCGCCAGCAGCAACTCCAGCTCCAGTACCTCCAGCAGCACCAGTAGCACCCCCAGCAGGCCCGCCTCCAGGACCGACAGCAGTAGCCTCAGCGTCAACACCCTCAGCAGCTCCAGCTCCAGTCGTACCCGCAGGCCCAGCAGCTCCAGTACTCCCAGTACGAGCACCTCCGGGACCCGCGGCACCAGCACCCTCAGTAGCCGAAGAACCTCCAGCTCCAGCAGCACGCCTCCAGCGCCGGGCAAACCACTCGCGCAGCTCCTGTGGAGAGAGTGGCTCCCGCCGAGACGAAGCACCCGGAGAACCTCCAGGCTCAGCACCGCCAGACGCCACACAAGCAGGCCCAGCTCCCTCAGGCTCCACACCCCCAGGCCCAGCACCTCCAGGCGTAGCACCCCCAGGCTCAGCACCCCCAGGCTCAGCACCCCCAGGCTCAGCACCTCCAGTAGTAGCACCTCCAGGCTCAGCACCCCCAGGCTCAGCACCCCCAGTAGTAGCACCCTCAGGCTCAGCACCCCCAGGCGTAGCACCCACACGCTCAGCACCCCCAGAGTCAGCACCCCCAGGCTCAGCACCCTCAGCAGCACCAGAGTCACCAGTAACCTCGACAGGCTCGACTGCGTCTACCTGGGACACACCTGAAGGGGCAGGACCCTGAGGGGGGAGGGGGTCTACTGGGTGGGGACCTGGCACAAGGAAGAGCGGTGGTGGGGGGAGGGACGGAGTGCGGTAGGGGAAGAGGCGGTAGTAGGGGACCGACTCGTCAAACGTGACGTCCTGGGAGGACAGAACACGGCGAGAGGTGGGGTGGTAGAACTGCCACCCTGGCGCGTCAGGGGGGAAGCCAAGGAAGACGCAAGGAGCAGCACGAGGGGACAGCTTGTCCGCAGACAAGTCGCGGACAAACGCCCGAGATCCCCAGACACGGAACGCAGACGCATCGCCAACCTTCCCCGTCCACAGCAAAGCAGGGGAGGTCTCCGGTCTGGAGACCCTAGGGTGAAGGTTGATCTGATGCGCCGCGTACCGAACCGCAAACGGCCACAGAAAATGGGGGGCAGCCGCATGCATCATGGACGTACGGGCGACGTCCATGACCATGCCAATGCGGCGCTCAGCAATCCCATTTTGCTGTGGAGAGTCCGGAAGCGTGAAGGTCTGGCGGATGCCTCGTGCTCGACAGTAGGCTCGCAGAAGGCCAGAGGAGAACTCTCCACCTCTG